GGCCTGGTGCCGCCGCCAGTGCGAGGGCTACCGCGGCGTGGACATCCGCGACTTGAGCAGCTCCTTCCGGGACGGCCTGGCTTTCTGCGCCATCCTGCACCGGCACCGACCCGACCTGCTGTGAGTGCCCGGGGCGCGCGAGCGCGCGGAGCTGAGGACCGCCGCCCCCCTCAGTGACGCGCGCCGCCCCGTAAGGTCCGGGAGTCCACACCCGTCGACTCTGTATGCGGAGCCGGGCCGCCGAGACCCTAGACCCGTGCACCCCTCCCCCACCTTGGGCCCCTGGTGTCAGGCTGACCCCTCCTCAGGGACGCTCCTACTCGAGGCTCCAGCGCACACGCTGAGCTGAGCCGAGCCTCCCTTGGGCGGCGCCTGTGCATAGTACCCCCCACACTTGACTGTAGGGGATCAGACTGTGCCACTCCCCCAGATAGGCTGCCTCCGAGTTTGGGCTCCTGTGAGCAGACCTCCAAGTGCTCTGGGAGACTGACTTTTTCCAATAGGAATTTACATCGGGAAGGGCAACCACCGGAAAGGGTGTCAGAAAGAAGGCTGCCCCAGATCTCGTCCCACCGGAGATCGCTGCCCGGCTCTATTCACCCGGTTCTTCCCTCCCCCAGAAGCCTTAGCCCGGTTCCCTTCTATGTATAAGCTCTGTCATCCGACTCTTCAAGTCCCATATTTTGTCGGACTCCCACGGGAATGTAGGTCATTAGTTTCACTTCTCTTCAGCTCTTTTTCCATTTACGTTTAAAGTGCAAAGAACCTGGCGGGCGGATGGAGGAAAGCCACCTCTCCATAAGGCATTCTGGGCTGATGCGCTGTAGGGCATTAACCCCGTTTTTGGCACAGAGGTCCTAGATTAATGACTGTCGGGTGACTTGGGGTACACTACTTCCCAACACCACCTCAAGTAGGAGTCTGACAGGCTGTATGCGCTATAGTCCTGCTGTTCACAGTGGGGCACAGCGATGGGGCAGAGAAGGAGTGGAGTGGGGGGCTGGGAGGGTGACGACTCTTGGACAGTTGACAGTCCAATCTGTAGCTTCCTGCTGGAAAGTGGGTCCCTCCAACCCGAGCCACTCCGAAGGGTCTCCTGGAAAAATGTATTCAGGCCTGCAGAACGATTGACATGGGCTTCTACCTCAGCTTTCTTTTCTCAACCCTGGAACCTCTTTTCGTTTGTTCATTGATTTATTTAATCGTAAAACTGAAAGTGACAGTTCATCTGGTGTCTGCCTTCCTTTCACTTCAGGCTTTAGTAGCAAATCTGGAAGAGGCCTGGCTCTGTCTTCCTCCAGCTCTCACAGCCTGCAGTCTCTGCTGCTCTCTCCCAGACCTGTTTCCATAGGACAGGCTGTGGGAGGGCCCGGGAAGGGATTGCCCAGCTCTAACTTGATTTACTGTGTGTGCAGTTGAATAGTGTCCCAGGGGCTCTGGAAGACAGGGTTTGGGGGTGTGGAAGCCGAAGGGAGCTAGGTTTTATAGCAGGGGACCCAGTGCTAACTGAAAAGGGGAGTGGGCTTGGGCTTGCAGTGGTGGAGATGCTGGCTTGACCCCTGCTTTGAAGCTGCCGCTCAGGGGTCTTCTTTTTGCTGGGGACTAGCCCTGAAGCAGGAGTCAGAGGATGAGCCTCAAGAGAGGATTTAGTGTCAGGGATGCTAAGTGCTGAACCCCCCTCCCCCCCAAGTGCTGGCTGCCTGCTTGGTGCTAATGTTTAAGCCCTGGGGAAAATCATTGGTTCTCTGTACATCTGGAAGGTGGGGTTGATAACAAGACCTACCTCACAGCCCTGTGGTCAGGATTTTAAAGGAGGTAATAAGCAGGCAGTTAACACTAACCACTGGAAGAGGTGCTATTAGGCAGTGGGGGGTGGGAATGACTGCTTAACCCCTTCATCTAGTCAACAAGTATGTGTCCTCACTGCTCCCACACACTGGAGTTGGCAGAGACCACAGCCAGCAAGGCAGAAGCCTACATACTAGCCAGCCGTGGTGGCCCATACCTTTAATCCAAGTACTCGGGAGGCAGAGGCAGGTAGATTACTGAATTCAAGACCAGCTTGGCTACAGTCAAGGCTACACAGAGAAACCCTTTCTTGAAAATCAAAAACAAAAACAGTAACAAAAAAGCCTACAAACTGTCACACATATAGAGCTTGAGGTGACTAACTAGGGGTACCTAACTGTAGGCCTCCAGGGGACACATCCTGGGGGAAAGGCCAAGGTAAAGAGAAGGCCCCAAGGCCCTGCCTGAGGACTTTCAAGGCCCCGGGGAAGTCACTCAGATGTCCAGAAAGCAGGTGTGAAGGGCTTCCCTCTCAAGCAGAGGTCTAGATTCAATCCAGTTGGTCATTTGCTAGGGAGGCTGGGCCTGGACCCTGCTAGTTGTGTGAGAAAGAAACAGAGGCCCAGTTCTTCCTAAAGTGCAGAGAAAGGTGGAGGTTTATCTGTCCTCCATTTATTTACTTGCTAGGGATTGATTCCAATCCCGTGTGCATGCCAAGGAAGCACTTAGGGGTAGATCCGTACAGGAGTAGATGTAGAGTGAGGGTTCTCGCCAGGACTGCAGGCCTTGCCAGCCCAGGGCTGGTCCCAGGCTCTCTCTGTGTGTGCTTGTGTGGGGGTTCCTGCTGTGTTGGGTGAGGAGCTGGACCATGCCCTACTCCCTCCTCCAGCTTTTTCTAAATTCCCTTGAGACCAGGGCCCATGTGGCATTCATTTCTGTGCTTTCATTTCCTCGTGTCAGATGGAACTTTCTCGGCCTCTGAAAATTCTCAGATCTGTGCAGCCCAAACCCAGATGGTGTTTAGGGGTAGAGATGAAGTAGGAGAAGCTGAGGAAACACTAGTTTTGTGTGTGTTTATGTATGTGTATAGGCTGGAGGTCAATTTAAGAAGGTAGTCCTTTTTTTTTTTTTTTTTTTGAGACAGGCACTCATTGAGACCAGGGAGGGGCTAGGCTCTGACTGGCCATCAGACCGCCTGTCTCTTTCTCCCCAGTGCTGGGGACACAAGCATTGGTGCTGTGAATTGAACTCAGGTCCTCATGCTTGTGTGGCAAGCATTGCACAAGGGAGCCACCTCCCCAGTCCCAGTTTCCCCAGTTTTATAGGTTTCATCATGTATTATTTCAACAAACGTGTACAAGAACACTTCCTGAACACCAGGAACTGTGTGGGGTCCTAGGGAGGCAGTGGGGACAAACTATGACCCCACCTTCTAGGAACACTGCTGAGGAAACCAAACTGTCCAGACAAGTTGCCCTTCTGTCAATGGACTTGGAGTCCCCCTGTGTTGGACACTACTGTGTTTAGTATTACAGATGAGGAAACTGAGGTACAGAGAGACGAAGTAGCTGGCAGAAGAAGGTCACTGCTAGGCAATGGCAAAGCTTGCACACTTTGCAGTATCTAGGAGACCTCTGTCACTCTCAGATGCTGCTGGCCCTCACGCCAGCCCAGGAGCAAGGCCTGAGGCTCTCCTGAGTTTTCAGGCAGTAGAGATAGGTAGGGTTCCTGACCTGCCCACAGTCACACAGCCTACCCGAAAGAGCAGGCCCACAGTGCCCCGCCTACTCATGGTCCAGCCCACTGGTTTCCACAGATGATAAAACCAACCAGCACCCATGTTTCCCACATCAATGCCCTGTGGAACAGTTCTGCCACCACTCACCTGCCTCACTCAGAAGGGAGAAGCCCTTTCCTAGGGAAGTAGGAAGTCCCCTGGAGGGAAAATGTCCCCGGGGTGGCTGATGGGGCAGACCAGCTGTTAGTTCTAGCGGCTCTGCAGTACGCTTGTTTCTGCTCTGCTGCTAACTTGTTCTATTTTAGGCCCCATTAAGAAACAAATGTAGGGGCTAGAGTTTACTCCTTGGTTAAGAGCGCTGGCTGCTCTTCCAGCGGAATGGGGTTCAACTCCAGCACTCACTGTGACAGCCTGCAACTGTACCTCTAGTCCCAGGAAATCCGATGCCCTCTTCCGACCTTGGGCATCAGGTAGATACTTGGGACACAGACATACATGATGAAAAACAGATATATATTAAATAAATAAACAAAAAATACGTATGTGCACATACACAATAAATAAATAATACAAATTTAACAAAACAAAAAAAGAAAAACATTCCTCCTGGGGTTGGATGGCGTTTTGGATTCTGTGCTTGGTGTGGCTTGTGTGTTTGTGACATTTGATGGAAGTTCCAAAAGTGTAGATTCCCAGGGCTGGTTAGCTTCGCCTCTTGAATCTCACCACCCTCTTCTGTAAAATGGGGTGAGCACCTGTCAGGCAAGGTGCAGGGAAGTGCGGGCTCCCCTGCATGGGAACACCCACACTGCAAGTCCTCCGCATGCTTGGTTTTGCCACCAACTGAGGAGAATGTCTCCTGAGGAAGAACTGGCCATGAATCAAGAATCCAGCCATGACTTGGAGCTTGAGCCCACCCCTTCTCAGTGATTTCTCAGGCCTCGCTTGGGTACCTTTAGGGGCCATAGGCTCACTCTCTGCTTCCAGTCGACAGCGACAGTTCCATCAGGACTTGCAGCCTCAGTTTCCTCCTCAGGAACTAGGTGCCCTCTCAGCTCTTGGAGAGCTGAGGCTGGTCTTGCCAGGATAAGATCACCTCTTCCCCTCCCTCCTGACTCTGTCTGTCACCTCTCTTGATCAGTCCTTTTGTCTCTTGCAGTGACTTCCAATCTCTCTCCAAGGAAAATGTCTTCGAGAATAACCGTTTGGTGAGTCCTCAGACAGATGGGAGCACAGAGGACTGTGGTGAGAGAGGGCAGGGGTTGCAGAGGGCCACTACATTTGGAAAGGGGACTGGTTCAGGTCCTAGGGGAGGTCCTTGTTCTCCCTTCTCACTGCTTCCCATGGGTGAGCTGCTCCTTCAGCTGCTCCTTCAGGCTACCATGTGGAGATGGGATTGTAGTCACCTAGTTCTCTAACAATGAGCTGGTCCCGGTCTGAGAAGTGTTCCCTGACTCTGCCATCTTGCTGTCCTCTCCTCATTGTGGCCGCTCCTGTCTCCACCTTCATACCTGTTTCCATCCTAGGCCTTTGAAGTGGCTGAAAAAGAGCTGGGGATCCCTGCTCTCCTGGACCCCAATGACATGGTCTCCATGAGTGTCCCTGATTGTCTCAGCATCATGACCTATGTGTCCCAGTACTACAACCACTTCACCAGTTCTGGCCAAGGTAAGAGGGACAGCCCTTCAGGGAGGCTGCCCTGGGCTGTTTACTTCTTTTCTGAGCAGTACAGAAATAGCTAGGATGGCTAGCTGGTGGTGGCACATGCCTCTAATGGAAGGCAGAGGCAGGTGGAACTCGGAGTTTGAGGCCAGCCTGGTCTACAGAGTGAGTTCCAAGACAGCCAGGGCTGCACAGAGAAACTCTGACTCAAAAAGCCAAAGAAGGAAGGAAAGAAAGAAAGAAAGAACCAGGAAACAAACAGCTTGTCATTCATTCACTGACTGTAGATTTGCTAGTTTACATATTTTTTGCAATAAAACAGCACTGGCTTGGGTGATGTGCTCACACCTGTAATCTCCATACTTGGGAGGCTGAGGCCGAAGGATTACCTCAAGTCTGAGGCCAGCCAGGGCCACACAATCAGATCCTGGCTGCTTTGCCCTGTATATGTGTGTGTGTGTGTGTGTGTGTGTGAGAGAGAGAGACAGAGAGACAGAGAGAGAGACAGAGAGAGACAGAGAGAGAGAGAGACAGGCAGTAAACCCAGGTGAGCTCATCTGTGTGTTCACCTCCCCTCACCCACTGCACTTCCTGTCTGACACTTCCTGTCCCGACACTTCCCAGCGCTTTTTCTTCCTGCCATGCTGCTCTCTTCTGGGCTGTTGCACAGCATCTTTGCAGAGCCTGCCTCCTCGGCTTGAGTGTAGAGACACTGGAAAAGGGCATATGCTGGAGGGACAGGCTTCCTTTCTGTTCTAGTCAGGTTCCTGAGTGTCCCAGGGTAGCTCGGGGACAGACAGCTCCTTTCTGCATAGGGGAAGTGAGTCTAAAGAGAGGAAGCAAGGAGCTCAAGAATACAGCACAGAAGCTGAACAGTGGGCCTGAGAAGTCAGGGGTCCTCCTGAGTCCTACACTGGGTAGTTGCTGCCACTAGGACCTGAATAGCCAACCCCATGTGGGTCATGTTTTCTGTGTCTGCTTTGTGTGGGCAGAATCCAGTCTGTCTCTTTAAATGGGGTGGGGCTCAGTGGTTAAGAACATAGTCTGTTCTTCGAGAGGATCCATCTAGTACCCACATGAACATGGAAGCTCACAACAGTCTATAATTCTAGTTCCAGAGGGTCGAATGTTCTGACCTCTGCAAGCATCAGGCATGAACATACATGCAAACATAATTTAGTGATAATAAAAAACTTTGGAGCATGTCCTGGAACTAGCTCTTGTAGACCAGGCTGGCCTCGAACTCAGAGAGATTCACCTGCCCCTACCTACCGAGTGCTGGGATTAAAGGCGTGTACCACCACTGCCTGGCTATAAAAACGTTTTTATAAAAGGCTGGATGTGGTTGTGCACGCCTTGTATACCAGCTCATAGGAGGCCAGCCCGGTCTTCTAAGGGAGTTCTAGGACACCCAGGGCTACATTGTGAGACCTTGTCTCAAAAAAAATGAAAGAGATGGGCTGGAGAGATGGTTCAGAGGTTGAGAGCTCTTCCCAAAGGGCCTGAGTTCAATTCCCAGCAATCACATGGTGACTCACAACCATCTGTAATGGGGTCTGGTGCCCTCTTCTGGCCTGCAGGCATACACACAGAAAGAATATTGTGTACATACATAATAAATAAATAAATAAATAAATATATATATATATATATATATATATATTTTTTAAAAGACTGAATTCAGAGACGGGCAGTGGTGATACATGCCTTTAATCCCAGCACTTGAGAGGCAGAGGCAGGTGGATCTCTGAGAGTTTGAGGCCAGCCTGGTTTAAAGAGTTGAGTTCCAGGACAACCAGGTCTGTTACACAGTGAAACCCTGTTTTGAAAAACCAAACAAACAAACAAAAATAAAAGACTGAGTTCTCTTCTCAGCACTTATGCCCAGCAGCTCACAACTACCTGTAACTCTAGCTCCAGAGGATCTGGCCTTCATGGGCAATGCACTCACGTGTGCAAAACAACACAGAGGCCAGGACGTGGTGGCACACGCCTTTAATCCCAGCAGAGAGGAGGCAGAGAAGGATCTCTGAGTTCAAAGCCAGCCTGGTCTACCAGAGCTAGTTTCAGGAAAGGCTCCAAAGTTACAGCCAAACACTGTCTCGAAAAACCAAACCAAACAATAACACATAGACACACACATATACATGTAATTAAAACATAAAAGAAAACTTTAACATTTGAAATTAAGTAAGCAAAGTGTTTGGAAGATGCACGTAGCTGGCTGGAGCTTGCTGGAACTTAGGTATCTGCAATGCCAGGGACAACTGCACTGCATTGGAAGACCCCAGAGTCACTGTGGGAAGGAATCTAGCTTCAGTAGAGATAAGAACATGACCTCAGACTTTTCCCTTTGCATTGCTTAACCTTCACCTCAGTCTCCTCTTTGTGATGGGGTTCTGCATAGAGCCCACCTCACAAGGTTGCTGAAAGGAGTGAAAGGGATGTGTGCAGAGCATGTTTGTCCTCTCTGATTTAGGACTCAGGATGCTTGTAACTCACATGTCCCCAGCTTGTGCGGTACGGTCTCATTACTGTGACTTTCGCAGTCTGGGAAACGACTAACATCTATAGTGTGCCGTGTGCTGAGTTATAAAGGATGAGCGTCACCGTGAGGGTGCTTCTAGTTCTGATGGCCTTGTTGGGTGGAAGCCCCTGTAACAGAAGAACATATGTATCTGGATTGCTGGTTGAGTGTAGCTTGCATAATAGTCAGGATCCATGAATGGACCATGTGACCCTGATCACAATTTTATTTCCAGACTGCACTTCTCCACTCTGTTCTTCTGCTTCCTCCTACCCCTTTCAGATGGTCTTTTTATGTAGCCCAGGCTAGCCTGAAATTCAGTATGCTTCTTCCTTACCTTCTAAGACAGAGTTACAGGTATGTGTAGTCATGCTCACTTTGTTTCCCAGTCTCTTTGTGGCCAATCATGAATCTCTCTTCAGCCCTTCCTGGGAGTCAACTTCCTAGACCTGCCTGCAAGGTGGGGGTGTCCTGTGACGTTTCATTGGTTAAGATAAAGTTTGTATCTTTTATGTCATTTGGCCCCTAGATACAAATCATTTTTATCTCATCTGCCACCGCTGTGATGTGTTCCAACCCTGTGTTCCCTCCCCAAGATGGTCCTGTATTGTATCTTTTGGGCAAGTGGAAAGTGTGTGTGTGTGTGTGTGTGTGTGTGAGAGAGAGAGAGAGAGAGAGAGAGAGAGAGAGAGAGAGAGAGAGAAGAGAGAGAGAGGAGAATGGCCAATTCTTCCTTGCCTGGCCCTCTCATCTATATAGTAGCCACTGCCTCTTTCTCCTGGGTAACACACAGAATATACTTAAGTATGTACAACCCAGGGCTTTCTACATGCTAAACAGGCACCGCTCACTGAGCCCTGTCCCAGCCTTCCTTCCCTGCAGACCAGCACTGTCTGCACAGCTGTGCTGCCCCAGCACCTGGAACCCAGTACTTTAGTAAGTACTTGTAGAGCCCTTGCTGTGTGCCAGGCATTGTGTTGGCTGCTGGGGAAAGAGAGTTTCAGAGATCATGCTGTATGGTGTTGGAGGAAGGGAAAGAAAGCATTAAGCAGTACATTTCTCAGGATCTGAACAAGGAGAACAGGAAGTGGTCACTTTAGATGTGTAGTCTTGGAGGGCCTTGAAGGTGATATCTGAAGTGAGCAGGAGACAGCCCAGTCAGCTCTGAAGGTGTGGGGAGGAGTGTGGCAGGCTAGAGCCGCGTGGGTCCTGTGCTGCTGGGGAACTAGGAGAAAGAGGACAGGAGCCAGCGCAGGGAATCTCCCCAGGGGCTTGCCTAGGCTGCTGAGTTTCCCAACCTTTTCACTGTGACTCAGAGTTAAGACAGCTTTCCAGTCAGGCATGCCCTTAATCCCAGCACTAGGGCAGCAGAGGCGGGTGGATATCAGTTTGAGGCCAGCCTGGTCTATATAGTTCCAGGGCAGTAGTTTAAGGGCTACGTAGTAAGACCCTGTCTCAATAAAATACAACAAAACAAAAAAAGAGATGCATTCCCTGCCACATCCCCAAGTTCACACACATGTGTAAATGACATAAGCTTTAGAAATCAGTCCTTTACCGTCTGACATGATGGTCTTTGCATTGAGTAGATGTTTCTTCTCTATGTACGCCCTTGTTCAGATGGACTGAATGCCATCTGCTTCTTCCTTGCAGGGTGTCTTTAAGGCCTGGGACTAGAGGCTTGCTGAATGTTATTACAGACCTCTGCAAGGAATTTGTATTTGATTGAATTGTATTATCACTATTAATACTATAAATATTTGTTTTGTATGTGTGTATGTGTGTGCCTGAGCATATCTCTGTGGGTCATATGTTTGTGTCATAAGCCTGCAGAAGTCCAGAAGGGCATTGGATCCTCTGGAACTGGAGTTACAGGTGTTTGTGAACTGCCATGTGGGTGCAAAAACTCAAGCCAGGTTCTCTGTAAGAGCCATGTTGTTTGTTTCTTTGCTTGTTTTCAAGACAAGGTTTCTATGTGGCTTTGGAGCCTGTCCTGGAACTCACTTGGTAGACCAGGCTGATGCTAGTCTCAAACTCACGGAGATCTACCTGTCTCTGCCTCTAGAGTGCCACCATCATCTGGCCTAAGAGCCATTTTTTTTAAAGCTGGGCAGGGGTAGCACACGCCTTTAATCCCAGCACTTGAGAGGAAGTGTAAGTTTGAGGCCAGCCTGGTCTATAGAACTAGTTCCAGGACAGCCAGGGCTAGCCAAAAAAAACTCTGTCTCAATCCTCCTCCCCCACCAAAATTCACATTTGCTTATTTAATTTGTGTGCATATATACCATGGCTCATGTGTGGGACAACTGTGGGAGTCATTTCTCTCTATCCACCATGTGGTTTTTCAGAGACTGAACTCAAATCATCAGCCTTGGCAACCAGAGTCTTTACCTGCTGCATCATCTCACTGGCCTTTTAATTGATTAACTCACTAATTAGTTATTTTTTGAGACAGGCTCTTACTTTGTAGCTCAGACTAGCTCAGAATTCATAATCGTGTGGTCTCAGCATTCCAGGGACTGGGGTTACAGGTGTGCACCACACAGACACACACTTGCATATACCTTGTTTCTTTTCAGCACTGGGCTTGAACTCAGAGCCTTGATTATGTTAGCCAAGTGCTTTATGGATGAGCTGTCTGAATACTTGTTAGATTACCACACACGGACTGTTTTGTGGTGCACAGTTCTCAAGAAGCTAGAGGTTGGATGTTGTTTTACTGCGCGGGTCCAGAGGAGATTCTCAACTTGACACCAGCTGATGGGGGAGGGACATAACCTGAGGGGAGCCCTGGCGTGTGTGTGTGGGGGGGGGGGGGGTTTCTCTGACTCTGGGCCACATCTGCTCACTTGGAGACAGGCGGGCGACCTCAGGGAGTAGACCACCTCCCTGAGCCTTCAGGTCAGACTTCATCCCTTTGCCTGAGTGAGAAGGAGGCTGGGGCTAGGCCGGCTGTACCCAGGCTTGTGGCAGTCCTGAACAGTGAATCACTGGCTCCACTTGAGGGAGGTTGAGCAAGGCCTCTGGCGCACAGCCTGAAAGTGGAAGTGTTTCCCACTTTTTCTTACTGCAGTACAGGTGCAGACCCGTGTTCTGCCCAGAGGAGGTGGCTGTGGAGCTTTGGGTGGGTTGGCACCTCCCTGGTCTCCAGGTTCTCTCCCTGCCTCAAACAGTGTCTTTCCTGTCTTGTAGGGGCTGTCTCACCATCACCCTCACCAGGAAAGGACCCAGCACCCCACTCCCCCCCATCTGCATCCCCTGCTGTGCAACCAGGAGAGGAGGCTCAGGTAGGCAGACTCCTTGGGTGGAAGAGCAGGCGAGGGGCACAGCCTGGATGTTTTCTCCAGAGTCTGAGTGAGTCACGTTCATTCCTGTGACTGAGTGGACAAACCCCATGCTGTCCTTGCCATCATGGGACTGTCAGGAGCTGTGCGCGTAATGATGCATAGTGATGTGACTGTCACTTTGACTCTGTGGAGTCCGAGGTTTGAACTATTCAGTGTGAGTGAGGCCCCTCTGAGGCGGCATCTTCAAGGCCCTGTTGTCCAGACAGGAAACAATGACTCAGTGAGGTTTGGTCCTTTGTCCAAGGTCGCTCAGTGGAGAAGTGGGGACCACCTTGTTAGTCCCCTCTCCAAAGGACATCAGCTTTTCTTGAGCTTTAGAGAGAAACAGGCCCAGAGTGAGTACCCAGACAGCCTGAGAGGGCTGACAGTGACGCCCGGGCTAGTTGATGGAGAGCCAAGGGCACCAGAGGAAAGGAGGGTTAGCTAGAGCAGCTCCCAGGAGCTGCCTCTCTTAGGACCAGGAGGCCTTCCTTGGAAGCTGGAAGTCTGAGCTTCACTGTTTCTGTACTGACTTGGGACGTTGAGAAAGTCACCTTTCTCTGGGCTCTGGCTTCCGCATGTGGGAGAAGGAGCCAGCCTGTTGTCCTATGGCTCTCCTAGGACTCTAATCTTCATGTGTTAGCACTGTGGAGCTTTGTGTGCACTTGAGGGACATGGCTGTGGTGGAGAGGGGAGGGGAACTCTTCAGGAGCAGCATGGCTGGTAACTGTACCCCATTTCCTGCAGGATGATGACCTCTCCTCAGGCAGCCTGTCTGAGCAAGGCCAACAGCAGCCCCCCAGCAGCGCATGCGCAGCCTGTGGGCAGCGGGTGCACCTGGTGCAGCGGTACTTGGCCGAGGGCAGGCTCTACCACCGGCACTGCTTCCGGTGAGTGCTGTAGGACAGGGCATATCTCCCAGCACAAGGGAGGGAGCTCCCTTGGGGTCAGCACCCACTGTGCCCTTCACACCTGCTGTGGCCGTTCACACCCATCGGGCTGTTCATACTGGGCATTCAGCTTCTCCTCACTTCACAGAGGAAGAAACTGTGGCCTAGAAGATCAAGACCAAGACCCACTCAGCCACAGGATTTCCCTCCATTTTCATTCTTTTTAAAGATGTATTGATTTTTATGGATTCTGTGGAAGCAGAAGCAGAAGCTGTGTGGGTGGGGATGCCCTTGGAAGCCACCTGCAGTTACAGGCCATCATGAGTGGCTCGATGTGGGTGCTCAGGACCAAACCCAGGTCCTCTGCAAGAGCAGCAGTGGCTCTCAGATGCTGAGCCGTCTTCTTTTCTGAGGTGCTGAGGCTTGAACCCAGGCCCAGGCATGTGCAGGGCAAACATCTCACCACTGAGCTTTGTGCTCAGCCCCCTCTCATCATTGGAGCTCAGTTGAAACAGAAAGAATTTTCTTAGATTTAAGTGTGACTTCCTGGGGATGCTAAGTTGTTTGGTTTTGTGGTGCTGGGACCGAACCCAGTCTTGTGTCTGCTAGGCAAGCACTCCACCACTGAGCTATATTTCCAGCCAAGGGAAGACAGGTTCTCCTTTTTGCTTTTTCTGTTTTTGTTTTAAGGCAGTGCCTCACTGTGTAGCCCAGGCTAGCCTGGAACTGGCGTTTCTCTGGCCTCAGTCTTCTAAGTGCTGAGATAAAGTACGTTGGCGTAACCCTTTAATCGTAGCACTCGGGAGGCAGAGGCAGGCGGATCTGTGAGTTTCAGACCAGCCTGGCTACAGAGTGAGTGCCAGACAGCCAGAGCTACAAAGTGAGACCCTGTTTATAAAACTAAAACCAAACCCCCAAAAAAACCCAAAACAAAACAGGTGTGGGGCTGGAGAGATGGCTCAGTGGTTAAGAGCATTGCCTGCTTTTCCAAAGGTCCTGAGTTCAATTCCCAGCAACCACATGGTGGCTCACAACCATCTGTAATGAGGTCTGGTGCCCTCTTCTGGCCTCCAGGCATACATATAGACAAAATATTGTATACATAATAAATAAATAAATATTTAAAAAAAACAGGTGTACACCACACTTGACTTTTTTTGAATATTTATTTATTTATTATGTATACAATATTCTTTATGCATGTATGCCTGCAGGCCAGAAGAGGGCATCAGACCTCATTACAGATGGTTGTGAGCCACCATATGGTTACTGGGAATTAAACTCAGGACCTTTGGAAGAGCAGGCAATGCTCTTAACCACTGAGCCATCTCTCCAGCCCCCCACACCTGACTTTTTAAAAAGTGCATTTGAGAGGCGGGTGTGAAGGCTCAGCGCTTAAGAGCAGTGGTTGCTCCTGCAGCAGACTCAAAATTGGATTTCCTGCATGCCCATGGCCCCTCACAACCTTCTGTAATCCAGTTCCAGGGGATCTGATGCCTTCTCCTGGCCTCTTTGGCACCAGGCACACATGTGCATAGGTCTACATGTAGGCAAAAAAGCCCAACACATAAAATAAATCTTAAAAAGTAACCCCCCCCCCCCGCAACACGCGTTTGATATTACTAGATGTACATACATGGTCTGACCCTGTGTTTTCCCTGTTGAAGAGTTCTCTGCAGCTGTGCTCACCCACACAGGAGTCACTCTGATACACTGTATTTTATTTTCATTAAGAGCAAGCCAGCCCGAGTCTGGGGCTTTGTGACGCAGTGGTGGAGTGCTTATTCATACTTCACAAGGCTCTGGGTTCCACCACAAAACAGATGAGCTTGGGCTGTGGTCCAAGGGTAGAGCACAGTGTTTTTAGCCTTTTTAGAGTTTTTGGTTCCCAGCCCTGAAAAACAAAGTGAAACCAAAACAAACCTGGTAGGTAGGGAACCAAACTGATTTCTAGAGTAACTGGCTGGTGGCAGTCTTCCCCTGGGGCAAACCCTGGGGCACTTTCACCTCTTCCCCTTGCAGCACAAGCATGTTTCACAATGCCTGTTTCTAATTTGACATGGTTTACTCTTCCCCTCTGATTCCGACAGTTGCCATGTTTTTTTCTTCTGGAAAGTCCAGGGTATAAAGCCAGTTGGGCCTGGCATTTGAAGGAGGGAGTAAGGGGATAATAACTTTAGTCTCTGATGGAGGACTTACCCAGGGCCTAGCCAATGCGCCCTGCTAAGGGAATACCTGCTCTGTCCCCTGCAGATGTCGGCAGTGTTCCAGCACGCTGCTCCCAGGTTCTTATAATAGTGGGCCCGAGGAAGGCACCTTTGTGTGTGCAGAACGCTGTACCAGACTGGGTCCAGGAGGCCGATCAGGAACTAGGCCCCTGTCACAGCGAAAGCAGCAGCAGTTAACAGAAGCCAAGGATGGAGAAGAGAGTGACCTTAGCCCAAGTGTGGCTGCAGTGTCCAAGGCAGATGGGTTCCAGGCCAGCTCCGAGGTACAGCCCCAGACCTTGAACAAGCTTCTTCCCAGCAAGCCCCAGGGGCTGGCCAGTCCCCCTGTTGGCCGACCCACACCTGCCCCCAGGAAGGCTTCTGAGAGCTCAGCCTTGACGCCGCCAACACCACGGCCACGGTCCAGCCTGCAGCAGGATGGCTTGGTGGAGCAGGGTATCAGCAGCGGCCTTGTGAATGGTGAGTGAGAACATAGTGGATGGGGCATGCTGGCTGAATGTGTTCCCTCCTGTGGGCCTTGTGTTTCTGGAATAGTGTCAGCTTTCCTTCTTTCCCTCAGATTTATTTTAAATTGTGTGTACGTGTGTCTGTGCATATGACTGTAGGTGCCCACAAAGTCCAAAGTCGAGAAGAGGGCATAGGATCCCTTAGAGCTGGAGAAACAGGATGTTGTAAGCCACCTGATCTGGGTGTTGGGAACTGAACTCAGGTCCTCTGGAAGAGCAGCAAGTGCTCTTGACTGATGAAGTATCTCTCCAGCCCTGTGAACTGCTCTGAGCTGGCACCTATATGTGCTGTGTGATGAGGTCTTCTGTGTGTGTCCCAGTCACCTTGTACCTTTTCATGGAATGTTGTTCTCCAAACTGGTATAGCTCAAGCCACAGCCCCACCTGTGTTCCGTGTATACATGTTGTTTCTGTCTTGTGGCTTGGAGTATAGCAGGCATACATGTGTGTGTCTTGAGTGTCTGGGACTGTGCATGTTGATGTCAATAGTATGTGTCCTGGTTCATTCCCAGGTATGTTTCAGGTAACTTCCCGCTCTCATTATGTGTATCTGTTCTCTGTCTGGGGAGGGCAGCTGGGTCAGGGCCCTTGAGCTCATCTGAACTTCATGAGAACTCTTGGCCTCCTGTCTGCGGGGTATTCTTAGATGACCTCCATGTATTCCTGAGCTATGCTGAGCATCCCTCATCATTTGGTCAGGGAAGGCAATGAAGGCCTAAGGGAGAGAACATCCCAGGACTTGTGCCAAAACATTCTCAGCATTTCTGGAGGCTGTCTTAGGTTTGGGTACTAGGGACATCGATAATGTTTGGACCTTGTTGCGTTTTCTTGGAGGAACCAGTGTCCCAGAGCAAGTGATTTGGTAGTTTGTAGACACGCTATTGGGGTAGATGAAAGGAAGCCAAGACTGGGATTTAGATAGTTGTAGTCAAGGGAGGTTTCCAGGTGGAGGTGGCACCTGAGTAGATACCCTGGTATAGAAGAAGTGACTGAAGGAATTTGGGTTGGGACTTTTTTTTTAAATTTATTTATTTGTATTTTATGCACATTGGTGTCTTGCCTGCATGTTTGTTTGTGTGAGGATGTCAGATTCTTTGGAACTGGAGTTTCAGACAATCATGAGCTGCCATGTGGGTGCTGGGACTTGAACCGGGGTCCTCTGGAAGAGCAGTCAGTGCTCTTAACCGCTGAGCCATCTCTCCAGCCCTGGGTTGGGACTTTTCAGCTAGCATGCAGTTGGGCCTGTCAGAAGCCTGCCTACAGCCTCTGACCATTCTCCTATTCACCTTTGATCGTATCTTACTTATCTCCCTGAGGGCGGGGCAGGGAGGGACTGTGGTCACCCTGGTCTGTGATTTGCCATGTAGGGCACAAAGTGCTGGCTTGCAAAGCCAGCGCTCTGGCTGGCTCTTGGTACCCCTCTACAGCCCATGAAGGCCTGCTTTATTGTCCTCTCACGTCTAGGAAGACTGCAGGAACCCCCTGTTCCCAGGCCAAGAGGGACACCCAAGCTGTCAGAGAGGTATGCTGGCCCCCCGAAAGGCCTCTGGGGGAGTGGGGGTTTCCAGGGCCCAGATGGGGAAAGGATTTCCTGGCCCACAGGGAGGCTTCTCTCTGGGTGAGGAAGGAAAGCCATGTCCCCAACCTGCCTGACTTGTGCTCCAAGTGGGGACAGCTATCTCTAGAGTCACTTGGCCTCCCAAGCCTGTGCTTCCTGCATAACATGGGTGTCTAGGCCTTGTTCATAGAGTACATAGTTCATAGAGGCCTGGAAAAGCAAAGGTGATGTGCCTGCCTCTCTCCAACCCCACTCTGGGGAGGACATACTTCTAGCTTTTCTTTGAGAGCTGTCCTCATTAGGATAACTGCCCTGGGAGGGGTAAGGGGCCACAGTGCCCCACAAGTAAACATTTGTGCACTTTCTGGTGTGTAGCCACACTCGGGGGCAGGGTGTAGAACTCACCGGACCCTGTGAAATAGAAGGCTAGCTAAACCTCCATGGAGCTGATGAGCCTGAGGCATAGGGAGGTGGGTGACATCATGAAATGTCACACAGCCCCTCTTTTGGGCTGGATTGACAGCAGCTGTGTGATTAAAGGCTTGTCTTCTGTGGGCTTCAAGGTGCCCTATTGGGATGTGACTGTCACAACCCATTTTACCTTTGTGCTTGGCCTGACCTTGGGGCTAGGCTTGGGAGAACAGAGGGGGCAGCTTCTCTCCCACACCCTGGGACAAACTGAAACTTCCTAGAGAGCAGAAGGCTGACCCCTTGCCTTGACCTTCCTCTAGGATGCCAGCACCAAGGAAGGACCCCCCATGGATCACACTGGTGCAGACAGAGCCAAAGAAGAAACCAGCCCCGCTGCCCCCCAGCAGCAGTCCTGGGTCACCAAGCAGACAGGTGGAGAATGGAGGCCTGGAAGGAAGGACCCAGAAGAGCCCAGTAGCTGAGCCAGAGCCCAAGCCCTACAACCCCTTTGAGGAGGAAGAGGAAGAAGAAGAGACAGCCCCAGCAGTCCCAGGCCCTGCCCCAGCCCCACCAGAATCCACACCCAAGTCTCTGCACCCCTGGTATGGCATCACCCCCACCAGCAGCCCCAAGACAAAGAAGCGCCCTGCCCCGAAAGCACCCAGTGCTTCCCCCCTTGGTGAGTTCTGGGTCTGAGGTACGGGGAGCTTCGTTGTTTTTGTACACTGTGGGTGTGTGGTCTCCCATTTCATCCAAGAGAGGCTGGAGAAGGGCAGTCACTTCATAGGAGAGGCAGAGCGCTGGAGCAGTGGAGGTGGGATTTGAACCCCAGCTTTGTTCATCCATCCATCCCCCCATCCATCAATCTATTTAATGTGCATTGGTATTTTACCTGTATATATGTCAGTGTGAGAGTGTCAGATCTTGGAGTTACAGATGTTATAATTTGGAAAAAGTGGTATGTGAGAGAAAGGTACCATGTGACAGAGCTAAGGTGGAGGGCTGTTTTATTGGGGAAAATGAATGGGAAAAGGGGAGAGGGGAGATGGAGACCGGCCTCTGGGGACAGGAGTGGCAGAAGAGAAGAGAGGGAGACAGACAGACAGACAGAGCCAGAGAGAACGAGGGAGAGATGGGAGGTGGGCAGGGCCCTTTTAAAAGGGAACGAAGTGAATGTGCACAGGAGATGCTCTTGGCTACAGCTGAGGACGTGTACCCCAAGGTCAGGCCAGCACAGATGCCTGAATACTAACAACAGATAGTTGTGAGCCACCATGTGGGTGCTGGGAATTGAACCTGGATCCTTTGGAAGAGCAGCCAGTGCTCTTAACCACTGAGCCATCTTTCCAACTCCTGAGCCCCAGCTTTTAGCACTTCCTGTTGTGCTAATTCAGCATGGGAGTCAGGGAGTACTTGGCACAGCCTTGGACTTGTGAAAGGCATGAGGCAGGAGTTCACTTGAACCCTGCCCTCTGTGTCTGTCTCTCCAACCACTGAGAAGCTTGGCTTCTAACTTTGTAGGACTTGGTCTTTAGTCTCATGTGTGAGATGGGGGTCATCTCCAGGGCCCTTCACCTTAGCACGCTGTATGTTTTGGTTTTACCTCAGATTTGTTTTAAACTCTTGATCCCCTATCCCACTCCTAGGGGTGTGGCTGGAAGTTCTGGGACCAAGCACCTGCTGGGAGAAATTACAGACAAATTCTCGGTCCTATATGCCCTGGGTGCACTTACTGGCTGGGTTTGGGGTAATGGGGGCATGAGCTCTGAAGCTGGACAGAGCTGTGTTTAAGGATGACCCTAGCTAGGGAGGATCCTTCCCTGAGTCTGAGGCTTCATCCAGGAAGTACAATGATGGACGTGGAGGCAGAGTTCATGTCGTCTGCAGAAGGAGAAAGCTGTGCCTGGCAGTGCCTGGCCCAGCTCTGGCTGCGGCAAGTGCTGCCCCCACCCTGTGCTGTTGCTTTCTTTCCAGTCTGTGCTAGAGATGAAGGCCAGTCTTGTTTCCCCTGCCTTCCCTGTACTGGAGCCTCCATCTGCCCTGTGGCTTGCCTTTGAGTGGGCTTGGGTGTGGGAGGATCATGGGACATGTGGGGAAGCGGAAGGCAGGAAGGCAGCTGTCTTTCTGAGTGAGAAGTTAGGGCCATAAATGTGCCACAAGGTGGCACACTAGCGCATCATGGGTACAATGACTTAGTGCCTTTATGAGATGGGTCCTGGCATGGGTTTGGTGTTCTCTGGCCCCCCGCCCATCCTGATGGGAAAAGCTTGGTGTCTAGGGCTACCCCCAGCTCTGGGAGCAGGATGTGTCGGGGGAGGACAGATGTCCTGCCTACCACTTGAATGTTACTGCTGTTCGTCTTCAACAGTTCTCCACGCCTCCCGCCTGTCACACTCAGAACCTCCTTCCGCCACACCATCGCCAGCACTTAGTGTGGAGAGCCTGTCATCCGAGAGCTCCAGTCACACTGCCAATGCAGAGCCTTTGGAGATGCCTGCCGTACCCAAGAGCTCCTCAGATCCTGCTGTGCACGTGCCTGGTACCCCTGGCACAGCTGGGAACTCCGTCACCCCCTCAGCCAACTCTTCCCTATCGTCTTCTGGGGAGCTAGGACAGCCTGGTGGTGAACAAGTACCCCAGGCTAGGACCAGGGGCAGCCCAGGTACCCAGGCCACCAAGCCCTTCAGTGGTGCCACCCCCACGCCCTTCTTGTTGGCTGGAGACCGGAGTCCTGCCCCTTCCCGGGGGAGTTCATCCCCACAGCTGCAGATCAAGGTGAGTGCAAAAGCAGCCTTCTAGGTAGTGGGTGTGTGGCTCATGTGGGGGCAGGGAGGCCCTCGTCTGGGTTCTCCAGTGGACACACCCATCATTACCAGTGTGAGGCCCTGGTCTGTGTTTCTCCATTCCTCTGTCTGTTCCCAGCCTGTTTACTGATACGGTGGGATCTGTCCACCCCTGTACCCTTCGCCCACACCTCCTCTCCCCCACCACCTGCTGCCTTTACTGATGCCAGGCCTTGGGCATGTTCATTCAGACCCTGTGCTTGCCCTCTAGGGGCACCCTGTCTCCATGGGCAGACAGGCATGATTGTTGTAATCTGGAGTGAGAGGACTCCTTTATTAGAGACTGCAGCTCTTACCAGGAAGTTGTGAGGCAGCTGGCCCTTGCTGACTAGGTACCTCCTGAGTGCATGGGACACCTGGATTCCTGAGGTCACACAGGCCTAGTGGCCTCTGCTCTCGAGTGGCCCATTGTAATTGTCTGGTCTGCAGGTTCTGAAATGACTCCCACAGGTAACCATATTGGTTTGTAGGAACCAAGGTTAGCACCCATCAGTCTTAAGGGCACAGGATGCACACCTTTCTGGGTTCCTCTTTTATGGGTTATGGGGGTATAAACCAAGCCCGACCTTAGACCCATGCTAGGCTCTTTCTTCTCTCAGAGGTAAAACAAGCATGAGGAGGATCTAGCTGGGCCCTTATCCAGGAATCTGGCTTTTGACAGGTTCTGTAATTCTAGGTTGTCTTGTCTCTTGTTCTGATCTTTCCTGGGCCACAGTGACTCATGTAGGTATGGTATTTCTAACTCTGCTACCTATTGTGTGACATTGAAAAGGCCTACTTTTGACAGTAAGCTACTGGGTAGTGCCAAGTTTCCAGAATGTTCTAAAGAGCCTCTGGATATCTAGGTGGTGGTAGGTGATGGACTTGGGGTAGCTTAAAGAACCATTCCAGGTCCTTTGTTTATATGTTTTAGTTTTTCTTTATTTTAAATATGTGTATCCGTGTATGGGTTTGTGCATGTGAGTGCAGTGCCTGTGGTAGCCAGCAGAGGGGGTGTCAGACCTCCTAGAGTTGGAGTCACAGGGGTCTGGTGGTCTGGAGTCACAGGCAGCCTGATGTGGGTGCTGGGATCTGACTTTGGACAAGCAGTGTGTGCTCTTAACCACTAAGCCATTTTTGCAGCCTGCCACCTCCATTTGTAATGAAAGCATGGCTTGTACAGGAGACTGATTTGAGAATGTCCTGTGGCTTTAAAAGCCTGGAAGGAAAAAAAGAACAAATAAATAAATAAAAGCCTGGAACGTCTCAGGCCTTGGGCTTTACTGGACTTGCTCTAGGTGCTGATACAGAGAGGGAAAGGGCAGAATCTTGGGTCTTCCTAAGGGACTCAATCTCACTCTCACCTCTGGATTAGGAGAGAATGTCGAGAAGGTGACCACACTTTCTCTGTCCCAGGCAGAGACGTTAGTCCTGCCATGTTCAACTCTGGCTTAGGCACTTTTTCTGCTTCAGGGAACTACGGTGCAGCTTGGAACTTGACTGAATAAGGGCAGGGCCTGCTCCCACTCCCACCACCCCCCTATCAGTAGAGGGAAGTTGAGGCCTCAAGTGTGATGCTTGCATTCTATAAACCGAGGGCACTGTAGGGAAGGCAGGACCCTGGTCTCAGAGTGGACAGAGGTCTCTAGAGAGCCAGAAATATGAGGAACCAGGGTCTGAGTGTGTCTGTGGTGGGCAGAAGGGAGTGTGTCTGTTAGGTAGAGGGAGGGTGGGATTCCTGCTATTGTATTTCCTGCTGGGTGACTCTAGATGGGGGAGCTATGCCTCTCTGAACCTTTGAGTCTCCACTGAAGAAAGTGTGGCCGTGAAGACTGTAACTGTATAGTCAAATGTGGGGTCTTTGACCTGTGGTGGATGTTACTGGACCTCTGGGAAGTGGGTGGCCTGGAGCTGGGTGCTCAACCTCTCTGCACTGAGCTCAGCTGTAAATGGGCATGCAGTGAGTGAGGCCTTTGCGTGCTTGAGGTTCAGGGCTAGCGCCCAAGGCTTGCACTTGTTAGGCAAACCATCATTTTTGTTTTTTAATCTTTATTTAGTTTTTCTTTTTGAATAATATCTTACACATATAAAATGCATTCTGTTGTTTTGCTTTGTTTTTGTTTTTCAAGACAGGGTTTTTCTATAGCTTTGGAGCCTGTCCTGGAACTAGCTCTTGTAGATCAGGCTGATCTCGAGATCATAGAGATCCATCTGCCTCTGCCTCCCAAGTGCTGGGATTAAAGGCATACGCCACCACTGCCTGGCTTATAAAATGCATTCTGATAAATTCCCTACCCTCTAATCTCCTGTTCTATCCTTTAACCCAACCCCTTTCTTCCTTTTTTTTTTAATAACCTTGACTGTTTCACAAATCACTGTGTAGACCAGGCAGGCCCTGGACTCACAGTGATCGTTGTACCTCTGCCTCCCGAGTGCTGGGATTAAAGGGGTGCGCCACCACACTGGGTTCAAAGACTTTTCCCTCAGCCATGCCCTTGAGCAGAAAGTGTGTAAGGTGTGGTACTGACCTGGAACCATTTGCCTAATGAGTATGGAGAGATGGAACTTGGGGGATTCTGTTCTTGCCTGGGCCATCCCCCTCCTGCCACGTGGGTCCTGGCCTGCTTTCCATATCCCTGTGTGATCAGATTTCTCAGACTCCACCATCCGTCACGTCTTCCTTCAGTCTTCCTGCAAAGAGAATCCCTTCAACCGGAAGCCATCTCCTTCCGCATCTCCAACCGTAAGGAAGGCCACCAAAGGAGCCAAGCCCATGAGGCCACCTGCCCCCGGACATGGCTTTCCTCTCATCAAACGCAAGGTGCCGGCAGAGAAACCCTGAGGCCCAGCACCCTCCCCACAGCAGCCTTAGGCATCTGGGACCTGTGGGTGGCCCAATTGGAAGGTTGAACTTAACCCGGGGATCCTGTGTAGCCAGGAGCAGAGGGAGGAGGTGTTTCTAACAATAGTTTAAGTGCAGAGATTGAGCAGTAGGAGAAACGTGTGCTTCTCAGAAGGGTGCCCCCACACTAGCTCTCTGTCCCACAAGGAACTCCTCCTGAGTGACAGAGAAGGGAGAGGCTTCTCCTGGAGCAGGAACTTGGACCTCTCATTGGGAGTCTGTCAGACCCTTGGTAGGGAGGGTTCATGGCTGTCCCCTCTCTGGCCCCTTCTCCACACCTATGCTGCTTTCCTGTCATGCTACCCTGTGGGACAGTACCTGGCTGCCTGCAGCCTGCAGTGTCCAGGGACCCTGTGAGTTGGATGGGAGCAGGTGGAGGGGAGGGCCACTACTCTTCAGGTGACCAGAGTATGGTTGGGCAGGTCCAGGCTGACCAGTATATCCCTGAGGAGGACATCTATGGTGAGATGGACACTATTGAGCGCCAGCTGGATGCCCTGGAACACCGTGGTGTTTTACTGGAGGAGAAGCTGCGTGGAGGAGCAAATGGTGCGGAAGCTGCCTAGAGGAGATGGCTGAGGGCTGTGGGTTGATGGGAGCCCCTCGCCCTGGGGGTGCTGAGCTGGGAGGGGTGCCAGCTCTGGCCTCAGTGGGGATCTGGCTTCCAGAGGGCAGCGAGGACAACATGCTGGTGGACTGGTTCAGGCTCATTCACGAGAAGCACCTACTGTTGCGGCGAGAGTCAGAGCTTATCTACGTGTGAGTCCTGGCTCCTCACCTGCTCCCCACTGGGGTCTGGGGAAGACTGGGAGCTTGCACACTCTGCCATGGCAGCTCAGTGTGGGTGGGTGGCACTGCACAGAAGCGTTTACTTCCTCTTCCTCTCACCCTTTAGTATCAAGCAGCAGAACCTGGAGCAGCGCCAGGCTGACGTAGAATATGAACTGCGGTGCCTTCTCAACAAGCCAGGTGAGCCAGCTCAGCTACATGAGCCTGCCTTACAAACTGAAAAATAAGCCGGGCACTGGTGGCACACGCCTTTAATCCCTGCACTCAGACAGCAGAGGCAGGTGAATCTCTGAGTTTGAGGCCAGCCTGGTCTGCAGAGTGAGTTCTAGAACAGACAGGACTACACAGAGAAACCCCATCTCAAAAAACCAAAAATGTTGAAAAGTAGCTGGCTGTGGTGGCACACGCTTTTAATCCCAGCACTTGGAAGGCAGAGGTAGGTGCATCTCTGAGTTTAAGGTCAGCCTGGTCCACAGAGTGAGTTCCAGGACAGCCAAGGCTACACAGAGGAAACCCTGTTTTGAAAAACAAAATAAACCCATGAAGGTCTGAGGAGGTGACTTAGTCACTAAGTGCTTATACAAGTATGAGGATCCAAGTTTGACTCTTAAAACCTATGCATTTGTGGACGAGGGATGAGCTTGTCTGTGGCTATGGTGTGCACTGACCATCGTGGGTGTGGCTGTGGCATGCACTGGCCATCATGTCTGTGGCTGTGGCGTGCAATGACCATCATGTAGGTGGCTGTGGCGTGCACAGAGCCATGGAAGGATCCAGGATTCCGGCCTCTTTCCTACGTTGTGACATCATGTCAGACTCGGGTGATGGACGTCAGTGCCATTTCACAGCCGAGGTTAGACATGGACCTAGAGGCTGGGGTTTCTTCGTTTGTGTAGCCATTAGCTCTGTCTTGCCTCTCCATTGACTGGGGAACTCGGAAGGCTGGAGTGCCCCCAAGTCACAGAATGTCCTAGATGTCCTTTGCCAACCATGAGTCACTTCCAAGTCAGCAGGAGCTGGGGGTGTGGCCCGCACTCAGGAGCCCAGTGTGAGAGAGTGGGTATGAGCCATCAGCCCCAAGGCTGTGGCTGTACACCCTGTCCTCTTTAGCTTTCCCCTGATGCTGCTTTTGAAGATAAAGCTGGTTTATTTGACCCTGAGGGAATTCGGTCCATAGATACCAAAAAGGAGGTCAGGCTGCCTGGGTTCAATTTGGCTTTACCGTCTCTGGCCATTGCTGGCCAAAAGCTTCATTTTCCAAAGCTTCAATTTCCCTACATGTGGATTAGAAGCGTAATTTACCAAGCTCTAGAAGAAGAAAGGCAGAGCAGGATTGGAACTTGGGTGGTGACTGTGAAGCCATACTCTGTCCCCAGAACTGGACTGGACTTCCTGACCCTCAGTTTTGGCAAGTTGAGGTCATAGGGGAATGGGACAGTTCCTGGTAGCTTCAGGAGGTTTATTTCTAGATGTGTAGCACATGCGGGGCACCAGGTGTGGGTGCTCTGGGCCTGGAGATGGTGAGAGGAACCAGATATGAGTGCGCCCCTGATGGTGGTCTTGTGAGGCAGCCCTGGGCCTAGAAGAGGGAAGAGGCTGGAAGTGACACCAGGGATCCTCCTGACTGGGCTCCTGTCCCCAGTACCCTCCTATAGGCCTTGGGAACATGTTCCTCTGCGTGACTGGGACCATACTGCTTCTACAAGTGAACCTCTGGAAGTTCCTTTTCGTTCCCATCTCTGTCCACTCAAGCCAGTCCAATAGTTTTCCACAAGATGCCACCGACAAATGTGTTACAGGAAGCCTTTGGGGAGTGCTGGCCCTGCTTGGGATCTTGAACAGTGGGTTTGATATGCAGGAAGCCCTTGAGAATTGCTAGCCTTGCACGATGTCCTTGAACAGTGTGTTTGGTGGGCACCTTGGCCTTGCATGGTATCCTTGAATGATGTGTTTGGTGAGCAGGAAGCCCTTGAGGATTTCTGCCTCTACAGGGCGTCTCTTGAAGGGTATCTGGTGGGCTTCAGGTGTCCTTGTTTTTTCTAGAATTGCTTCCGTCTCTCTCAGAGCTTGTGTCACTCTGGGCCCTCCACCCATCCCACAGTATAGTTGACCTGCTGTCTTCCCGGGAACTCAGGTGGTGTGTTCTGTTACTGTGAAGAAGAGGGTCCCCACCACTCACCCTGGCTTTCTCCTTTGGCAGAAAAGGACTGGACAGAGGAGGATCGGGCCAGAGAAAAGGTGCTGATGCAGGAGCTTGTGACCCTCATCGAGCAGCGCAATGCCATTGTCAACTGCCTGGATGAGGACCGGCAGAGGTGACATGCTTGGGACCCCATAGGTGGAGCCACTTCCTGGCAGAGCTCTTCCCTCACTGCCAGCTTTCCCTCACGCTTGCCCAGTCCTGTGGGGCCGGAGGGTTGGAAGGGGCTCACAGATGACCTGGCTCCTTCCTGCTGTGGTCATTCAGCTTGTCATTTCCACCCCAGGGAAGAAGAGGAAGACAAGATGTTGGAAGCTATGATGAGGAAGAAAGGTGAGGTTCATCTTGTGGAGGGACCAGTATCTACCTGTGAGCTCCAGCCTGTGTTTACAACCTGGAAATAGAAGGTTGAGCAGGCCCCATAGGGATGGTTGGTCATAATGCAAATTCCAGGCTCCATTTTGCTGGAAAGCCAAGTGTAGTGAGGCCAGTCATAGCCATGCGGCTGTAGTTCAGGCTGGGAGGGGAGGACTTTGGACCTCCCGGGGGCCTTGACCCAGGACGGCTTTGCTCCGAGCAGATTATCTTTCCAGAGCTCTGTGGGTTGGGAACCTAGAGCTTGCTCAGGACCCGAGCCTGAAGTTGCTACCTGAGAGTTGTTTGGGTTGGGGTTTGACCTTAGTTCCACCTGTGGCTCATTGTTTGGCCTTATGGATACATCTTGGCTGAGGCTGGAGCCAGATTAACTTCTGGTCCTTTCTCGAACATGAGCTGGTGGCTGAGCTCTCACTTCACTCCCATTGCTATGGTGCCTCTCCCTGGGCTGAGGGTTATGGAGCTAATGGTGCAAAGCACCAGTCTGGGATTAGGCACCTACAAGCACATGGTTGGTGTTGGTTCTTTTCAAAGGCACACATTTTCCTTGTGAGAGTTTGAGGTTTGGGCAGATGGTTTCTGAGGTGTTCCTTAGTCCTGGCAGTTGGTATTTCTGTTGTAGCCTACAGAGAAAAGTACGTCAGTACAGGTGATCCGAGCTATTGAATAAAGAGTGAACTGTACCTCACAGTGGTTTTCAACCTTCCTAATGCTGCAATCCTTTAATACAGTTCCTCATGTTGTGGTGACCCCCAACCATAAAATTGTTTGCTACTTCATAACTGTAATTTTGCTACTGTTATTAATCGTGATATAAATATCTGATATGTAGAATATGCGACCACAGGCTGAGCACCACCGTCTCAGGTTCCAGACTGTCCTCCCAGATGTGGACCCCAGGGAGAAAAGGGAAACTAGGCATAGTGACATGAGTTGGTGCATGGGTGGGCTGAAGCCGCTCAGTGACGCTGGCCACTGCTCCATCCTGCCCCTGATGGTCCCCTCTTCTTTGCTGCAGAGTTCCAAAGAGAGACTGAGTCTGAGGGTAAGAAAAAAGGCAAGTTCAAGACCATGAAGGTGCTGAAGCTGCTGGGAAACAAGCGTGACACCAGAAGCAAGGTCCCTGGGGACAAGAGCTGACAGCACGGGAAGCAGACTTCCTCTCCTGTCCAGAGCCTCGAGGCCAGAACAGCACTCTGCTGCCCTCAGACTTACCAAGGGGGACAGTGACCTTGGGAGGGAGTCCCTGGGTGAACTTTGACCTCCTTGGGAGTCTCCAGCTGGTTTGGGCTGAAGTTTTCTTCCGTCTTTCTTCCCTGTGTCCCAGACAGCTGTGACTTAGCCCTGCCCACTTGGATTCTGACTCCAGATGCTGTGACAGGCCCAGGGACAAGCAGGGATGCAGGGTCTAGGCAGAGGCAGTAACTCTCCTTGTACTTCTGAACCAGGTCAGATGGAGTCTTCACTGTCAGTCCTGCCCAAGGCAGGCTCTGGCCACGACATGTGCACCTTGCAGCAGGCCAGCAACAAGGCTTGCTGCCTAACTTCTTCCTTCTCAATCCTGACAATTAGTCTCTGCCTTCCTGTCTAACACAGGTGCCCTTGAAAGTCATGTCCTCTCACTCAGGAGCTCTATGAAGTCTCAGTGAATGCTGTGCTGTGACAGTTGGGGATGAACTGCTTTCCTCTGCCTCCCACGCTGTAGGGAGCTCTTCCCTTATCTCTCTTGGTTCATGGGAAGTCTCACCCACCACATGGGGACCTGGTGGTTGTGCTAAGGTGGTGACTCAGACTAGCCTAGAAAGGCATGATTTGGGTAGGTGCTAACCTTTGTTCTCTAAGGTGTTGTGATCTGATCTGTGGTGCAGGGTTTCTGCCCACCCATCCCAGGGGATGGTCCCATTCCTTTCTGTGGTTGATGCAGTCTGTCTTTTCTGTTGTCTGTCCCTCCCAGGACTGGCGGCCATTCACCCCTGGATGGCCCTGGGAGAACAGTACTGGGGCACAACTTTCCCTGGGGAATATGCCAGGCAGCTTATGATCCGAGCACTATTCTTGCTCTCGGGGTCTTCAGCGCCCCTCCCTCTGCATCCTGGGAAGGAGTGCACTGTTCCTCAGTTGCCAGTGCCCGGTAGCCTTGGCCACAGCCACATCTGTGCCCTTTTGCCTGTCTGTGCTCCACCTCATGGCCAGGTGTCTGGCCACCCGGGAGGGGCTGGTCTGTCCACACAGTTGGGAACTTGACCACAGTGTCTACCATGGGGCAGGATTCTCTCCTTGTCTGGGGAGAGGTGCCTGCACTCCCATATGGCAGTCTTTCCAGATGCGCTGTTGACCTGAAGCCCAGGCCACCACCTCAGGTTTTTCAGAAGGGTCCTGTGACCCAGCTGCTGTAACCCAGGAGAGGGCTCCACCAGACTGTCTCAGTGTCAAGCATAGTTTCCATGTCTCCAGGGACCAGCCCTCCTCACAGAAGTCACCCGTTGCCTGTGAACGTGGGCATAGGCTTGCCACATCTTGCTTACTTTTAAAAAGAAACCCAGAGTCCAGTTTTTGTACAGGCATAATCTGTAAATGTTGCCATTGATTCGAGTTTGCCACTGTAGGCAGCACTTGTCCTGGGTTTTCCAGTGTGCTAGGCCTGGGCTGGTGGCTGTGTCCCTCCGACCTGATGCTTATCTGCTCGCTCTTACACAGTAGCCATGTTTATTCTTTGGAAGACAGATTATATGTTCTGTTGGAATTATGGGATTTGTAGCAGGTGCAGGAAGTATTTCATTTAGAGACAGGAATGATGGGATACTAGTGAAGGTCAGGCTGTTTAGAGTCAGCAGTCTGAAGGACACTGCTGTGCAGTAAACCAGTTGTGGGGAGTGAGGGCATACCAGGTGGGAGCAGGGCTGTTTCCTGATTGGGTTCCTTGACCTTCAGGCTGGGACCTCGGAGGCATGTGAATGGAACTGGAACCAAGGCTGTGGCACCTGCCAGAGCCCTTTTAGTATGGATCCCTCCTTTTTATGTTTCTTTCCTTAGTCTTCATTTGGTGGAAGTCATGAAGTTGACCTTTAATCCCGAGTGGGCTCCTCAGCAGTAACTACCTGGATGGAGTGTCTTGATGTGCCGCGTGTTCACACTGCAGAATTGAGGGCTAGCACTGACAACAGGCTGCTCAGGAATCTGTTTCCCTGCTCCTCTGGAAATGTGCAAACAGCGGTTAGAACCCATGTGTGCTGGACGGGTTCTGAACAGATTAAATGTGTTTATTCCTGTGGAAACAAGGCGGCACATGTCATGGCCAAGTTAAATGTGTTTTATTGGCCAATTAATCATTGTGGTCAAACATTTGCCCAAGGCTACAAGAAGGCAAAGAAACAGATCCTAAGATATAGGAAGGACAGGACAGGGTTCACAGAGCACCTGGAGGACACCTGTGGCATGAGAAGAGCCAGAGAGGGTGCCTTTAGGCAAATGTCCAAGGTGCTGAGCTGGGGTGTCAACATGGTGTGTCTGGGGCTCTTTCCCCTGAAGAAGGTCCCAATACTGTGGCTGTGACAGTGGCTCAGAGGCGTCACTGAGGCCTCTGCATCCCTGGGCAGTGCCACATCGTGATCTGGCGTGGTCTCTGGGGGTAGGCAGACCTGGGGATGACACTGCTTGGCAAGGCGAAGGCTCTGGTGGTCGCACTGGGCTGGCCAGCCCTTTTCTAGGATTAGGTGGTGGCGAGAGCCTTCCTAAGCTTCTCGCTTCTGCTGCGGTCGATGTCCTCCATTTCCCTTATTTTCTGCAAAGGGTCACCAGGAAGATTGCTGTCATGGCAGGACACCATGGTGGGAGCTTGCCACCTAAGAGGCCAGCCATGGTGCTGGCTGGGGCTCCTCCCATTGACTCTACTCTTCCCCACTTTTTGGGCTTTCCTACCTGGGAGATTTCAGCCAGGATGATTCCTCGGTATTGCTTGCCCTGTCCCAGAGCCTCCATGGCAGCCAAGAATTCTTTCCTGTCTTGGACTTCCTTCACCACTGCACAGAGGGGAAGGGCCATCAGTGCACAGGGCAGTGGGAGTGCACAGGGGCCCAGGCAGCACATGGCCTCTGAGGGAGAGCGGGGTAGGGGTGGGGGTGGGAAGGTCTATAGCAAGTCATGTTCTCTTGTTAGCCCCATCAGTTCTACACACACATACTCACATTCTTCAAACCGGTCCAGCTCGGGAGCTGGCTCCTCTTGCTGCACACGAGGAGCCGTTTTACGTTCCTCTATGTCCTTCCCAGTGGCAAAGATATTTTGGAGTCTTCGTTTCTCCTTCTCCAGATCTCCTGTAGGGCCCAGAGACGGTCTTGTTAAGGGGGAAGAGCAATCGTTTCCCTTATACGCTGCAGGGTGTCGGGGTTGAGAGGAGTGGGCTCTGCAGACCCAGCACCTCCCTTGACTGTTCCAGAGCAGAACATGCCAGGTTAGCAGTTGAAACAACCAAGAAAAAGCTTCAGTGCAGAGCTAACAGAGAATCCAGAAATGCAGGCCTCCGAGGTGACCTGTGTGTGGGGAATTGTGAGGATGCTGGGGCATCTGGGCCAAAAGCAGTACTGGAGGCCAGTATGAGGGGCTCCCAGATGCGGGCTCAAATACAGAGGAAATGGATTTGAGGGACCATGTATCCCCCTGGGATTAGGATTAGGAAAACGGGATTAATTTGAAAAAGCTATAGGAAGATGAAGAGGGCCATCTGTCTGGGTTTGTTACCTGCTACTGGAATGGTGCTGTCTGTCCCAGGCTGCTATGACCCCAGAAGACAGAAGAGAGCCCCTAGCCCAAGACCATCACTTACTGGTGGCCTGAGGCTTGAATTGCTCACGGATGTATGCCCCATTGGCTTGACACATGCTGGCAGGCCGGAGGTGGGAGTGGGTAGCCAGAATGGGAGGCAGGTAGATGGTTGTAGCTGGCTTCTTGGAAGGAGAGTTCCTCTGGCTGGATGTTGGGTTGCACTGCAAGGGCAGAGGGGCTCCTCCTGGGAACAAAAAGGTCAAGTGACAGCACCTGTTTGTCTATGTTTTCAAAGAAAAATGGTATTTGCCAATTAGAAGTCAAACAGCGTGGACAGTCCAGCCCTCTGAGCCTGCTCTGTAGGTTGTGCTAACAATCAGGTGGTTGCTCCTTATTCTTGATGCTTCTAAAACACATTCAAGGATGTTTTTGTTCGGTATGTACACAAACGGTTCTTAAACACTGGATCACACCATATGGTCAATAACAGACCCTTTTCACTTACCAATTTATTATGACCAACTTTCCGTAAAGACACATTTATATGTAACTTATTTTTTATAGTAATCTACTAGTTATTAGAATGATTCCACTATTTATTCAGCTAGTCATTCAGGTTCTCTCTGGGTTTGTTTTGGTTTTGTTGGTTGGATTTTTACTACTTCTGACAATGCTGCAATAAACATTCTTATACACTGAGTCTTTGTTGTGGTGTTTATATTTCTCTCTCTGTGTTTTTTTAAAAAAAAAACTTTATTTAACCTTATTTCATGTACATTGGTATAATAATGTCAGATTCTCTGGAACTGGAGTTATAGACAGCTGTGAGCTGCCATGTGGGTGCTGGGAATTGAACCCCGGTCCTCTGGAAGAGCAGTCAGTGCTCTTAACCACTGAGCCATCTCGCCAGCACCCTCTGTGTGTGGTTTTTGTTTTAATGTGCCGTGTGCATGTCTGTGCATGTGTGCAGGTCAGGAAACAACTTGTAGGAATCAGTTCTCTGACCATGTGTGTCCCAGGAATCAAATTCAGATTGTTACACTTGGCAGCAGGCACCTTTCCCTGCTTAACCATCTCACCAGCCCTGTGTTTTGGTTTTTGCTTTTTTGATGTTGTTTTGTTTGTTTGTTTTCTTAAGACAGGGTTTCTTTTGTAGCTTTGGAGCCTGGCCTGGAACTCGCTCTGTAGACCAGGTTGTCCTCAGACTCACAGAAATCCACCTGCCTCTGCCTCCCGAGTGCTGGTATTAAAGACGTGTGCCACCACCACCTGGCAGCATTTGCTTATTTTAAAGGCAGGGTCTATCCAGACTGGCCTCCCAACTCCATATAGACCTTAAACTTTTGATCCTCCTGCCTCTACCTTCCAAGTGCGTGGATTTAGGTATTTGCCACCATACCTGTTTTCTGTGGTGCTGGAATGCACCAGGGCTTGGTGCATCCCTGGTAGGCAAGAGCTCTACCAATTGCAGCCAGATTGTGGTTGTAATGGAAAGCTTTAGTAAAAGGGTAACATTGGAGCAGACAGGGAAGAGTGCAGTTACTTTGAGGCTCAAAGACTGTTCCAGGTAGAACAGCTGGGGTGAAGGTGCTCAGGCACTGTGTGCCCAGATATCTAGGTAGCAGCCAAGAGGCTAATGGGGTGGGGGACAGAGATCAGGACTTACGGAAGTTTCTGGAAAGAGGATTTTATTCTACAGCTTAGCAAGCCATTGGAGGGTTTGGGGCAAAGTTACCCTTTCTGCTGTTGAACGTCCCATTCATGGCCAAAGGTTGGGTCAAGGAAGACAGCTATTCAGATACCATGCAGCATTGGTGAGGAGCAGAGAAGACAGGTTATCAGGGTCAGGTTTTAGCTTTCAGGGCTGTTGACTAGGCAGGAGAAAGAACAAGGGACGACAAGGATGACTGGGTTTCTGTGCTTTGGCTTTACAAGTGTGTGCCTGCCATTACTCCCCACCTGCCTTCCCTTTGTGGAATCAAGCAGATCCCATTCTCCGGATGATCCCATGCCCCAGGTCTGCCTCTCCCCTGAGCACATGCTGAGCAAGCAAACAGTTACAGGCTCAGTGATGCTGGACATTCATGTCAGGGAGAGGGATCTGTGGCTTCAATCAAGCTACGGAACAATGTAGGTTTTGCTTAAGGAGAAGCAGACAGTGAATTCCTAGGGAACAGCTTCAAGGAAGCCTTGTCTTTCAAGGTGTACTAATCTTTATTTTATGTCTATGAATGCTTGCATATATCAATGTATACCATATATGAACCTCTTCTGGTGCCCACAGGAGTCAGAAGAGGATCACTTCGAACTGGAGTTTAGATGGGGGTGAGGCACCATGTAGGAGCTGGGATCTGAACCCAGAACCTCTGCAAGAGCAGTAAGTATTCTTTACCACTGGCTGGTCAGTATTTCTTTACACTGTGTGAAGATGTATCAGTATAAATGGTTTAATAAAAAGATAATGGCCAATAGCTAGACAGGAGGTATAGGCGGGATTTCTGGACAGAGAGCTGCAAAGAAGAGGGCAGAGTCATCAACCAGATGCAGAGGAGGGAGCAAGACATGCAGGAGGAGAGGTGAAAGGCACGAGTCATTGGCAGCTCGTAGATGACTAGAGCTAGCGGGACAGGCCTAAGCCATTGGCTGAACTTTCAGAATTAAGTTTCCATGCAGTTTGTGACCTGCAAAGAAAAATTCATCCACAGCGTGTCTTAATCCCAGCACTTGAGAGACAGAGACAGGTGGAGCTCTTGAGTTCCAGGCCAACCTAGTCTACAGAGTGAGTTCCAGGAAAACCAGAGCTACACAGAGAAACCCTGTCTTGAAAAACAAACAAAACATATGTTATTTTTAGTTACTCTTAGATATGTATATGCCTGTGTGTCTGTGAACATGAGTGCAGTGCCCACAGAGGCCAGAGATGTGGGATAGCCCTGGAGCTGGAGTTGCAGGTGGTTGTGAGCCATCGACATGGGAGCTGGGAACCAAACTCAGGGTCTCTACAAGAGCAGTACCTTCTCTTAACCACCAAGCCACTTCTCCAGCCTGCCTCACTCTCCCCAATCCTTTTTTATGAAATGGTCTCACTATGTAGCCTTGGCTGTCCTGGAACTCACTCGGCCTGCCGCTACCGAGTGCTGGATTAAAGGCATGCACCACCACTGCAGGGCTCAGTCTTGAACTTTTGGTGATCGACCTGCCTCTGCTTCCTAAGTGCTGGGGCTAGAGGTGTATATCATCATGCCTGGCTTCATCTCTGCCCTTTGGGATGAACTCCCCCTCCCTTTTACATATATATTAAAGATATATCCCTGGTCCTCTGTCCAGGAAGTCTCTAGAGTGACTGTCCTTACTTCTCATGGTGTCCAAGATGTGTCGTTGCTGGAAGTTAGTCAGTTTGGACTCCTTCATCATCACTACAAAATAAAAACACTCTGTGAGACCTCCTGAGCTGCAGCTGAACCCTGCATCTCCCCCACGTCTTGGCATGAGACCTTCTGAGTTGCAGCTGAACCCCGCATCTCCCTCACATCTCAGCATGTCTCATCCTGCCCAAACTCAACTGCTCCCCAACTCCCAACTGAAGTACACATGTTCTTCTGTCTGCTTCATTTTTCCTAGAGCACGTGACACTTTAGGTTTTTTCCTTTTTCTCCTATCATTCTATTTATTTATTTATAGAAAGGGTCTTACTATGTAGCCTGGCTGTTCTGAAACATGGTATATTCATTGAGCAGGCCTTAAACTTAAATGATATCCACTCGCCTATGCCTCCAGAGTGCTGGGATTAAAGTCATGAGCCACTATATATGGATTTTTTAAAAGTCTTTTTGTTGTTGTTGTTGTTGTTTTGAGACAGGATTTCTCTGTGTTATAGCTCTGGCTATCCTGGAATTTGCTCTTGTAGACCAAGCTGACCTTGACCTCACAGAAATCCACCTGTCTCTGGTCTCTGACTCCTGAGTGTTGGGATTAAGGGCATGCACCACCACTGCCCACCTAAAAATGTTTTTTTTAAAGACTCTTATTATTTTATTTATTTATTCTGGTTTTTCAAGACAGAGTCTCTTTGTGTAGCCTTGACTGTCCTGGAACTCCATCTGTAGGTCGTGTGGCCTCAAACTCAGAAACCCACCTGCCTCTGCCTCCCGAGTGCTAGAATTAGGGGTGTGCACCACCACCTGGCTTTAAGATTTTGTGTGTGTGTGTGCATGAGTATGCCTATGTGTGTATAGGTGCCTGTGGAGACTAGAAAAAGGCACTGAACCTCTATAGGTTGTTTTGGGCCACCTGATATGGTTGTTGGAATTGAATTTGGGTCCTCCAGAATAGCAACAAGTGTTCTTAACCTCTGAGCTACCTCTATAGCCTTTATTGCATTTTATTTTAAAGACAGAGTATTACTAATAATCCAGACCAGTCTTTTTTTCTTTTTCTTTTCTTTCTTCCTTTTCTTTTCTTTTTCTTTTCTTCTTCTTCTTCTTCTTTTTTTTTTTTTTTTGGCTCAGGCAATCCTCTCAAGCAGCAAATTTGCATATCATTATATTGTCTAAGACACACACACTTTTTTTTGGCTAATATGGGTACTAGGGACTGAACTCAAGTCTTCTTGAAGAACAATACACGTTCTTAACAACTGAGCCAACTTTTCAAAATGTAACACTTTTTTAAAAAGATTTATTTATTCATTATGTGTACATCATTCCTTCCATGTGTGCCTGCATGCCAGACTGCATTATAGATGGCTGTGAGCCACCATGTGGTTGCTGGGAATTGAACTCAGGGACTCTGGAAGAGCAGTCAGTGCTCTTAACCACTAAGCCTTCTCTCCAGCCCCAACTGTAACACTTTTTGTGTGTCGTGTGCTGAGATTGAAACCCAGGCTTCGTGTATGCCTAGCATACATATTACTGATCTATACACCAGCTCTATAATTTTTTTCTTGTTGATTTTTCTTGTTAACTTCCTATACTATTAGCTCTATGGAAGCAAGAATTGTTTGCTTTTTTGCAGTCCCCTTGTACTTTACTTCCACTACGTAGGACAATATGAAAATCATATATCAGGTGTTTTTAGTTGTTGGATAAATGAATGTATATATGCTCATTCATGTATCAGAGGCTGGTGCCACAAATGTGAGCAGAAACAGGCAATTTCTCTGCCTGGTGGCATTCACCATTTAGAAAGTGATGGCTGTGGTACTGGAGAGATGGCTCAGCGGTTAAGAGCACCAGCTGCTCTTCAGGAGGACCTGGGTTCATATCCCAGCACTTGCACGGGGGCTCACGACTGTCTGTTACTCCATTTCCAGGGAATCCGGCGCCCTCACACAGGCATACATGCAGGCAAAACACCGATGCACAAAAAATAAAAAGAAATAAATCTTAAAAAAAAAAAAGGTGATAGCTGGGAAACTAAATGCCTATAAGACCGACTATATATTGTGCTAAGCCCAGGGAAGGCAATTGGATTTGGTACTGGGAGTTTTCCTAGTGGTGAGGAGGAGTTAGGTTTCATTGAACGTGCAATGTAAAAGATGAGCTAACCACACCAAAATTCTCCGTCCTTTGGACTTTGATCCTTTCCTCCTGAACTTTTCTTAATCCCAGTCTCTTAAAGAAATCACCACCTCTCCTGTCGTTGTTCCTGTGAAGCACTGACCTCTGAGCAGCTCGCAGGTCCCTGGCGTGTAAGTGACCTGCTTAGGGCAGCACCGGAACCGGGTTCCTTTGGACACTGTGCCCACCCTCTCCTGTGAAGCCATGGGAGGGCCCTAGGAGGGAGAGAAGCAATGACCAGCCCTCGTCTCGCGTCGCAGTCCCGACCTCTCATCGCCAGCACCCTGGGTGTCTGAGAAGCTGGTGCCCGGACCCTCGGCTCCGGACCGTGCAGTGAACACAGTCCCTGTCTTGACGGTCCCGGGCGGAACGCTCACCCTAAGCGTGGCAGTGCCCTCCTGAAGGAGATCCTCAGGGAAGCCAGAGTGTCGGGGCCCGTCCCAAGCGCATCTAGTTACTATGGTAACTAGCGTACACGCCTACGCTTGCGCACCCGCGTCTCCTCTTTGGCTGCCTCCCGGAAGTGATTGCTTTTGGGTCGCGGCGCAGGCGCAGACCGCGGGTAGTGCCGGCGACGAGTGAAGCGCGAGGTTCACGCTTGTGCGGTCCGGGGTGGTCAGTGCGGTGAAGGCGTCATGTCAGACAACGAGGACAAGTGAGCGCGGGCTCGGAGGGGAGGACTTCGTGGTGCGAGCCGGGCGCTTGGAGCACAGGCTAGCCCAGCTACGGGGTCTGTTGGGGTGAAGTCTTGAGACCTTCCTACCTCGCGGAGCAATGCTCCCGGGACAGTGCGGAGTAAAGCCTTCTGGGCACCACCTTTCTGGAAGGGAATGCCGGTGGTGTACTTCGTGTAGTCGTAGAAATAGGAAGAAGCAATAATCCAGAGATAGCCTGGGAGGCTGGGAGCAGGCGCGGACTTGTAGCACAGGTGGCCAGAAGTGGGGAACTCTGGATATATATTTATTTTATTTATATGGAGACCAAATCTCACTGTATACCAGGTGGTTCTACTTTAGCAGTCCATCTACCTCCGTCTTCCAATTGATGGGATTAAAGCGTGAACCACTGTGCCTGGCCCCTGGTAGACTATACACTCACACTTACACACAGACACATATATGAGAGAGAGATGGTATTCACATATACACACACGAAAGAGAGGGAGAGAGAGAGAGAGAGAGAGAGAGAGCGCTATGTAGCCTTGGCTGTCCAGGAACTCACTGTGTAGGCCATGCTAGCCTCAAACTTAAAAAACATCCACCTGCCTCCACTGGGATTTATAGATGTATGTCACCATGGCCAGCTCCTGGATATATTTTACCTTTTTTTTTTTTTTTGAGAGAGAGAGAGAGTCTGTCTACATGGCACTAGCTGTCCTGGAAGTCAGTCACTGTGTAGATCAGACTGTCCTCAAATTCACGGAGATTGCCTGCCTTTGCCTCCTGAGCACTAGGATTATAGGCGTGTGCCACCATGCCTGGCTGCTAATATAGTTTAAAAGTAGAGCCAAGAGGGGCTGGAGAGATGGCTCAGAGGTTAAGATCACTGACTGCTCTTCCAGAGGTCCTGAGTTCAATTCCCAGCAACCACATGGTGGCTCACAACCATCTATAATGCGATCTGGTCCCCTCTTCTGGCATGCAAGCATACATGGAAGGAATGTTGTATACATAATAAATAAATCTTTAAAAAAATAGAGCCAAGAGGATTTCCTGATGGCTGCATGTGTTAGGTCAAAAGAGAAGATAAACTACGGGAGCCCTAAAATAGATGTAGCTGTCAAAATTCAGAAATAGAAGCTGGATGTGGTGGGCTTACCCCTGTAATCCTAGCATTGGGGCGACTAAGGCAGGAGGATTGCTGTGAACAGATGTCAGTCTGTGCTGCGTAGCGTTGTGTGGACCCCTAGAGAGGAGGTGGCTAGTGAGTGACTGGGGAAAGGGGGAACCCAGGAAAGGCTGAGGAGGAGCTCCCCCAGAGTGTGAAACAGGAGGGAGGAGCCAGATGTGCCAGCTGTTAGACGGAGACAAGTGAGAGTGGGGAGGATTTAGCAAGGCAAAGATCATTAGTGAAGCTGACATAGCACACACCTTTAATCCCAGCACCCGGGAAGCAGAGGCAGGCCGATCTGAGTTCGAGGCCAGCCTGGGCTACAGAGGGCGTTCAGGACAGCCAGGGCTACATAGAGAAACTCTGCCTTGAAAACAAAACAAAGAAGGTAATCAGCGAACAGAGCTCGGGGTGTGATGGGAGTCTTACTGAGGTTAGATTATCTTCTCTTCCCATGGTCGTAATCTCACCTCAGGGGTAGGGTGATCGTGGTAATGTTCTCTGCTGGGAATTAATGCCCAGGGATTTCATGCATGCTATGTGTACACTATTGAGCGACACCTCCAGCCCTGAAATAAATTTTGTTTTTGTTCTTGAGGCAGCATCTCCCTATGTAGCCCAGGCTGGGCTTGAACTCCTGAGTCTCCTCCTCCACTGTCCAAATGCTAGGAGTACGGGGGTGTAGCATCACACTCACAGATGTATAGTTTCCCCTTCCGATGGGGCTCGCCCTGCGCTGGTGACTGGAGGATGGCTTACTGATGGCCAGCATTGCTGCTTGTCCAGGGAGGGAAAGCTCGGCTCCCGGTACCGTGCTGAGCAACACCAGCTTCAGGGGATTTGACACCCCATTTCTGGCTTCCACAGACATCTGCACACCTGTGCGTACACTCACATTCACACACACAAACACATAGGGAGGCAGAGGCAGGCAGATATCTGAGTTCGGGGCTAGCCTGGCCTGCAAGAGCTAGTTCCAAGACAGGCCCTGTCTTGAAAAACCGGAAAAAAAAAGTCCTCAGACCAGAAAAGTACATATTACGAGCTGACCGCAGTAGTTCATAGAGAGGGCAACAGTGGTGAACAAGTCCTAGCAAAATTAGGGGGCAGATGGGACAAGATTGAAGGCACACAGCCAAGCCAGAGATTTCCCTCATTGAGATTTGCGGTCCCTCCTACGTCACAGCTGATACAGTGAGCTGTGCCTCTGATTCTGGCAGGTGACGTTCTAACCAGCATTTTCTTCTGGCTTAGTTTCGATGGCGATGACTTTGACGATGTGGAGGAGGACGAAGGACTAGATGACTTGGAAAATGCCGAGGAGGTCAGTAGCCCCTCTCAGCCCTCAGCTTCCTGCTCTGCAGGCCCAGGTGCTAGACCACGGGGTGGGTGATGGTTGCCGAACGATTTCGCCGTTCCCTTTTCCAGGGAAGTGTCTCCCACAGATACAGGCAGGATTTCTCAGTAACTATTGAGCCAGTCCTAGAACTCACTCTATAGACCAGGCTGGCTTTGAACTCACAGAGATCTGCCTGCCTCTGCTTCCTGAGTGCTGGGATTAAAGGTGTGCACCATCACCACCCAGTTCACAGATATACTCTTGGCCTTTGCATGAGCTAGACCTTAGCTAGGTTTTGGGATTGTTGTATCTTATTATGTATTATTTTTTAGATTTGTTCTCGGTAGATAGCCCTGGAACTCAACTATTTAAACCAGGCTGGCATCTAACTTACAGAAACCAGCCTGCCTCTGCTGCCTGCGTGCTGGATTAAAGGCGTGGGCCCAGGTGCATTGGTGTCAGATCCCCTGGAACTAGAGCTACAGACAGTTGTGAGCTGCCATGTGGGTGCTGGGAATTGAACCCGGGTCCTCTGAAAGAGCAGCCAGTGCCCATAACTGCTGAGCCATCTCTCCAGCCCCCACAATTTTTATCTTTTAAAAAGATAGTTTTTTTGTGCATGTGCGTGTCTGTGTCTCTGTGCGGTGCACTCACCTGTGTAGTGTGGTGGAGGGCCAGAGGCCTCTGTCAGCTCTTATGGTCTCCACCTGCTCTTTCAAGATGGGGTCTCCCTGAGCTTGGGACTCACTGCGTCAGCTAGACTGTCGGTCAGCAAGCCCCAGAAATCTTTTTCTTCTTCCCTCCTAGTTCTGTGGTTGTATGCACACACTGTTATATACCCAGGGTCTTACATGGAGACTAAGGATCCATATTTTAGGTCCTCCAGTGTGGAGCAGAGGGTGGAACCCAGGTGTGTGTGTGTGTGTATGTGTGTGTATGTGGAGCGGAGGGTGGAACCCAGGGCCAGCCTGGATAGATGTGTGGCAGGTTGTTGCTCAGTATGGGTGTGACTCTTTCTTCTTACCATGACTGTCCTTGCCACTCGACCCATTGACTCAATTGCCACCCGTGAAAGATCTGGTGTTTGTGCAACTTCCTGTTTAGGGTGTGCTCATCACTTAGAGGACCAGCCATCTTTTGTGTGGGGCAGCTGGCTCTGGAGTCCTGACCACAGTCTTCTTTACTGATGGTTTGGAGAATTTGGTCAGGTTGGCTGGCTCTTGAAGCCCTTGGGATAGGGACCATGATTCCTGCCTCATGGGGTAGTAATAAGGAATAGGGTGTTAGTAAATGTCCTTGACGTCCAGAAAGCGTTAATGGTGGTGGTGAGTGTCATTGTCATCATCTTCATCTCTGACCCAAAACTAACCCTGAGATGTCCCCTCTGTTTTCTTGGTGTCCAGGAAGGTCAGGAGAATGTTGAGATTCTCCCCTCTGGCGAGCGACCGCAGGCCAACCAGAAGCGCATCACCACTCCGTACATGACCAAGTACGAGCGAGCCCGTGTGCTAGGCACCCGGGCCCTCCAGATCGCGTAAGTGTTGTCCTTTGCTGTCCTCTCCATCAGCTAGGTCACCGTGAGCCCCAGGCTGCTGATCCTGCCCAGTCCCTGTGTGCCAGGCATTGTGCTAGGCTTAGGGATCCTGTGGTGTAATATAAAAAATAGGCCATGAAAAGTAACCACACAGGAAAAAGTGTCAGTAAGAACCCTATTCAGGCCTGGTGGCACAGACCTGTAATTGAAGACACTCAGGAGACAGAAACAGTGGGATAATGAGTTCACCTAGACTATGGGGTGAGTTCAAGGCTACTCTGGGCAACTAGCAAGACCCCGTCTCAAGCTAGAAGTGAAAAGGGATCTGGGGACGTAGCTCAGTGGCAGAGTGTCTGTCTAGCACGTGTGAGGCCCTGAGTTCAGATAATTCCTGTCAGTTTGCTGGAATGAAATGAGGATGGACTCAGGTAAGGCCATGGTAGCCCTTCAGGCTTCTATCCCTTCCTGTTGTGAGGGAGACCGGCCAGCCCAGTGAGGTAGGGAGGGCCCTTCACTTGGGAAAGCCTGAGAGCAGCAGTGGCTTCCGGGGTCTAGACAGCAGGCAGGCAGACTCAGGCAATCCAGTGATTGCTGTAGCCTGGAAGAGGTAGAGTTAGTGGAACTCTAGTGGGAGACCTGAGCCTGAGAGAAACTGCTGGACTTCTGACGTGGTGGTGTGGGGAATGGCGGATGCTGCAGGACGGACCTGGGAGATTAGAGAAACACAGTGGCCGGGCATTCTACCACCAGGTATGTGGAGGCCTACATGCTGGAGGCGTAGTGCTGTCTGCATCCCCTCCCACAGGTTCACACAGCCCTGGGTAAAGATAACTGCGGTGTCTGCCTTGATAAAGGGTTTGTGTGTGGGCAAGGTGGTCCTTAGCCATTCCTCAGGAGTAGACCTTTCCTTTCTCTAGCATGGTTGCACTCTTGCTCCTTTGAGTAAAGTTAGAGCCGCCTTCCGGGGCTACGGTCCTGTTGGCCCATACTGTCTGTTATGGCACTCACTGGCTCCATGTGACCATTTAAATTAATTCGTTAATTAAAAAATTGGCCCTGTGAGGTAGCACATGTCTTTAATCTCAGCACTCAAGAGGCTGAGCCTGTGGATCTTTGCGACTTCAAGGCCAGCCTGGTCTACAGAGTGTGTTCCAGGACAGCCAGGTTACACAGTTAGATGCCATCTCAAAAACAATGACAAAAAGCCACAAACTACCACCTCCACAACAGAGAAACCTATCCAAACAAATGAAAACAAAACAGCCCCCCTCCCCCTAATACTAGACACATGTCAGGAGTCAGGAGCATCTTTGTGGCTCACAGCACAGGGATGACATGACACAGGTACAGGATATTTCCAGATGGCTGAGTATTCTGGGAGGCTTATTCTTTTTTTTTTTTTAATTATTATTTATTTATTATATACACAGTATTCTGTCTGCATGTTTTGCCCGAACACTAGAAAAGGGCATTAGATCTCATTACAGATGGTTGTGAGCCATCATGTGGTTGCTGGGGATTGAACTCAGGACCTCTGGAAGAGCAGTCATTGCTCTTTACCTCTGAGCCATCTCTCCATCTGGGAGGTTTATTTCTTTAGCTAAAAATGGCCCAGTGGATGCCTTCATAGTCTCTAAAATGCAGCTGTGCTCACCACTGAGGTGTGCTGCTGCCCTGCTGAGAATGTAGAGGTGATTAAAGATATCATCCCAGCTCCCCGGATATTTTCTGATGAGAGCTGGACCAGAGCATAGGTAGCCTGAAGTCAAGGCAGGTGTGGATAGTGCTTTCCAAAGGGCATGGAGGGGCTGGAATCCCCAGGGTGGTAGACGAAGGGTGGTGTTTTGTGTGTATCTCTGGTGCTAAAAATAGTGTGGGTGGTTACAGCTTAGGTGGGAAGCTTGCAGCACAGTGATGGCAAAGATGTCATTACAGTGGGCCAGCAAGATGGCTTAGCTGGTGCAGATGCCTGGTCCCAAGCCTGACGACCTGATTTACAGGAACCCACAGGGCAGGAGAGAACTGATTTGATTCCTTCGTGCCATGGCATGTATATAATCATGTATATAATTGCACATACACAGACCCGAACACAAAATACAGCCTGAGGAAGTGATCATAGGTTGAGTGCTTGGCGCTCTTCCAGGGGACGCAGCGCCCTCTTCTGGTGTTCATGGACATCCACACACATGTGGTCTAGCTACATAAATACAAAACATATAAGTAAAAGAAAAAATAAAATTTTAAGTCTTCACACACAAAATTAATAAAATAAATTTTGTTTTAGAAGACTGGAGAGAAGAGCACATACTGTTCTTGTAGGGGAGCCGAGTCATAGCCACCTATAACTTTAGTCCCGGAGGGATCAGCACTTCTGCCTTCCGTGGGCACCTTCTCTCCTGCTTATGCCCCAATATAGACACACGAACACAAATAATTTAAAAAAAGACTTTAAGAAATAAAATTAGTAGAAATGTCAGTAGACCCTAAAGGGACAGGTTCAAATTGACATGTGTCTGATAAGCCAGTTTGGAGCATTCATAGGGTGTGAAGGCCCAGACAAACCCAATCCAAGGCAACCTGACTGTCATATTTTTCTTTGGGGCTTCAGTGCACCTTCCCCTGAGGGGTCCATGCCCTCTGGTGGCGCTCTGCCTGTTGTGAGGGACAGCCAGGCAGGATCCTGTACTTCCGCTTAGGTGCAGAATGAAATGCCTTCATGGATAGCTTTTGATGGAGTTCAGTCTGGCCCACTAGCACCACCTGGTGGCTGATGTCACTCACATCTTGTTAACTGGGTGGGTGATGTGTAGTGGCTGCAGGACAAGACAGTCACTTGAAGCCCACACTTGCACTTGCATGTCCATAGATAGGGACATTGATGAACAGATGCCCTTCAGGTACTCCTGTTATGTATGGAGAGACCAGGCCCAGACAGGTCAGGACAGCCGTGCGTGTTCTGTAAGGCTTTGTGTGCAGTGGACGTTACAGACAGGTCAATACAGCCATGCATATTCTGTAAGGCTTTATATGCAGTGGGTGTTTCTTTTGTTTTCTTGGTGTTAGGGACTAAACCCGGGGCCTTATGTTCTATTACCAAACTATACCCCAAGTTTTGGAGTATTCATGAAGGATATTTGGTTTCTGCTCTTGGGAAAATTTGAGGCTTTTGGGAGTAGCAGAGATCAGAATATTTAGTAATAAACTAGTCAGGGTTGCTCTCAAACTGGTTGGCCCCCAGAGTCACCTGGCAGCTCTGAAGGTACAATCCTCAGAACCCTTACTGAAAATTTCTCTCCCAGGACTGGAGAGACAGCTTAGCAGTTAAGAGCACTTGCTGCTCTTGCAGAAGACACAGGTTTAGTTCCCAGCATCCACGTGATGACTCACACCATCTATCCCTCCAGTTCCAAGTCGGGCAGTGATGGTGATGTGCACACCTTTGATCCCAACACTTAGGTGGCAGAGGCAGGCAGATCTCTGTGAGTTCGAGGCTAGCCTGGTCTACAGAGTGAGTTCCTGGATAGCCAGGGCTACACAGAGAAACCATGTCTCAAAAAAACAAACAAATAAATAAAAAAGTATGTCCTGATGGTCTAGAGAAGATGCTGGCTTTGGTGTGCTTCTCAGTAGCCCTGGATTTATAGATGTAAGCCCGTCCAGGGTGATCAGGGGAGTTGTTCTTAGGGCACAGAACTGGAGGTGCCATCCCCTTGTTTGGTGTTGGGGCCTCTGCTTGGACCTAGCATTGGCTGGGGACTGGGCCCTCACAGTGGCCATGTGTGATCCTGGGCCACCAGCAGCTCATGGTCTTCTGTGAACAGTAGTCTGGTGTCTTTGGTGCCATGAATGGCACATGTAAACTCACAGGCAGTGAAGACAGTCGTTTCCGGAGGGGGACACCTGAGCCCCTCAGGCTGTGGAGAGATGGCACAGAATGTCCAGGCTCCTCAGCTTGTCTTCTGTGGCTGTGACAGAATCCTTGGGGCAGGTTCCTGGCTCAGTACGTTTGACTCACAGTTCTGGGGGTTGGAGGGGCCAAGAACATGACACCTGCACCTGACGAGACTTCAAGCTGCGTCAGCATGGTAGAGGGTCACATGGTGAGACCAAGCAAGCTGCCTTGAATCTCTTCCTCTTATAAAGCCTTCACAGTGGTCCCGCCCTCAGGACAAAGGCCCCTCCTCTGGTACTGCCGTCGTGCTAACTTAAGAACATAGGGACACTTAAGAACTGTAACACGGGAGCGGAGAGGCATAAAAGTTTGTTCTGGGTGTGTGAATGAAGGCTGGATGGGGGCCAGGTTGGGAGAATGTGACCGTTCTGGGGTTGTTGCTGTGTAGGGCTGTGGGTTTGACTGATGTGGTAAGAATGAAGGGGCTTTTCTGGTGGAGCATTGCAGTTAGATGACTTTAGTGTGTTTCATGGGGCACATCTGGACTCTGCCTCTCTGCAAAGTGGGACTACCCTCAATGAACAGAGAACGTCAAGGTGGAGAACAGTGAGTGGCATGGAGTCTTCTAGTCTTCGGTTTTCTGTGGTTGTTTTCCCAGTGAGGCAGGGATTATCTTCATCTTTAAATGAGACCATTGGGGGCTGGAGAGATGGCTCAGAGGTTAAGAGCATTGCCTGCTCTTCCAAAGGTCCTGAGTTCAATTCCCAGCAACCACATGGTGGCTCACAACGATCTATAATGAGGTCTGGTGCCCTCTTCTGGCCTGCAGGCATACACACAGACAGAATATTGTATACATGATAAATAAATAAATATTTAAAAATAAATAAATGAGGCACAATTTAAATCCAGTCTGCTGGTCTTCTCTTTGCTTAGTGGCAGCTCCCTGTACACTTCTGCCAGCTCAGCTGCCTGCCTAAGTGACCTTGCTGGGTAAGGAGCAGGACACCATAGTCACCTTCTCTGAGCCTTGTTTCTTGTCTCCAACCCGTGTCTGTCCCTGCAGGATGTGCGCCCCAGTGATGGTGGAGCTGGAGGGAGAGACAGACCCGTTGCTCATCGCCATGAAGGAACTCAAGTAAGTCCCTCAGAGTCGAGCCCCCGAGAGTTGAGGGAGAGTCAGGGCACCAGCCCTCATGTCCTGTGAACTCCTCCACAGGGCCCGGAAGATCCCAATCATCATTCGCCGGTACCTGCCAGATGGGAGCTATGAAGACTGGGGCGTGGACGAGCTCATCATCACCGACTGAGCAGCGTTGTCGGACTGTGCCTGGGCGCCATTTCTATGCCCATTTTATACATGTATATAATAAACTTCGCCCTTCCCACCCCTCTGCGCCTGCTGCCTGCAGTGCTGCCACCTGCTGCAGAGAGCGTGCCCACATCGAGGTGGCCCTGTGACTGTCAGCTCTTTCTGAAGCCCTAGGGACTTGGCCCCGTGGGTCCTCCCATCCCTCCTCCTATCTCCCCATGCACCAGAGCGAAAGCTGCTGCAGGGGAGACACCTCAGCTGCCTTCTCAGCAGACAGATGAGTCTTTGTGCCCAGGGAGCTGGTTGCCATGGAAACCCCCAATTTCCTTTCCAGTGGGGACTGGCTGCAGGGGCTTCTCCCTTCTCAGGAGTATCACAGAGCAGGTCTCATCAAGCCAGCCATTGTTCCTGGGGACCTGCCTCGAGCTCTTATCAAGGACTCAGATCCCCTTTCAGGAGTGGTGCCCTAGCAGGAAGTGTGGGGGTGCAGTGATTCCCCCACTGTCCCCAGACAGAGCCCTGTTGGGCAAGTCAGCAACTGGAACAAGGACCAAGCACCTGTCCAGCTCTGTCCCGGGCCAGTTCACATAATGCCCTCCATGGCCATCTCTTTGCTCTGCCACCTTGTGCCTCTGCTTCTCAGACTTGAGCTAGGATGATGTGCTCTTGGGTTCAGCCTGAGCTTAGTTCCTCTCCTGCTTCACTCGCAAGGGTCCTTCTTCTGTGCATCCCACTTCCCACCCCTTCACATCCTGTAGTAGAGATGTGTGTGGAGCTGGGGATGGTGTGGCACACCTATAATCCCAGGACGGTGGAGGCAGGAGGCTCAAGGTCAGTCGGGGCTACGTGAGACCTTGTCTAAGAATGTTTTAGAAAAGAAGGCAGCCATGGACTCCGGCATAGTTAGAAGGAAGACCTCTGGTCCACTGCAACTCCAAGGAGTCATGGCACGCCACATGGGACTGGGCACCCTGGTCAGGGTGGGAAGGATGCGTGGCCACAAGAGTAGGAGGGTGCTTGCTGCATTGGATGGGGGTTAATTCTGGGAGTCACAGACTTCGCACCCTACCACCCTCCTCCAAGCCTCTGGAATCCTTTAATCAAGCTGGGTGCTGAAATTTCAGCCCTGAAATGCCGTCTTTGTGCCGGCATCCAGGCAGCCACCCCAGAGTGCGGGGTCACTCTCTCGGCCCATTTCTCTAAATGGTGCCTTTGTTCCCTGCTGGGCCGCTCAGTATCAGATGTGATTAAAGGGAGATGGAGCTTGGGTAGGAGGGGGCGTTAACCCTTAGGGGATAGGGTGTAAGGAGCCGGAAGAGGGTGCTTTTCCTCTCATCTCCCCCCTTTAATTCTGTTCTTGGGAAGCACCTCATTCAGCTGGCCGCGTCTGTCACTTGCCAGCATTGTAAAATGTGTCTCCTTAGGTTTAAGGTTATCTCCTCAGCCATTTAAAGAAACACCTGGCTCTGGAGCCTCTGCAGTGTCAGAGTGTATCCAAACTCTTCCAAGGGATGAATGCTGGCTTCCACTTGCCTTCCCCCATGGCCATTTCCCTGCTGCCTGCACCATTAGTGACTGGATGACCAACCTCATGAGGTAACAGCCCCCACCCCCTTGATGGGGCCCCTCCATCTTGCCAGCTTGTCTACAGTTCCCCACCAGAGCAGGAACAATACATAGACCGGAAGTGGACAAATGTCCTGCTTTTCAGTAGAGGGGCAAGTGAGTGTCAGCAGGAAAACTTGGTTGGAGGTGGTTTCATGTCTGGCAGTGCTGGTATCCTAAGATGAAAATCTGCAGCCAGGAGAGGAAGTTTGTCTATGGTTCCTGGCCTGGTAGATCTAGGGAATGCCCCTGATCACTAGCCCTTTTTCCCCTGGAGAATCGTCAGTCTCCTGTCACCTGTGATGGGTGAAGAAGGTAGTCCGTGTGTGAGGAACACGCCGATGAGGAGGGGCACTCAGTGGCATATGCAGGCCCCAGCCTACCCCTTACATCCCAGCCTAGTGCCTTCAGTGAAGATAATCAGATATGTAGATGCGTATGCCTGGACTTAGCTCAGGGGAAGCTAGGCCCCAAGATTTAATAAAGGTGGAGCAATGAGTCACATCCAACAGTTAAAGGTCTAATAAAGCTCAAAAAAAAAAAAAAAAAAAAAGACAGCTTCCATATAGTTTGGGTGGTCTGATGCTGCATTAGATATTGTTAAAAAGAGCGAGGGTTTCATATACCAGGCTTCAAAGGAGCCAGCGGTTTGGGGGTGGTAACCAAAAGAACTTACTGGTTACAGTGTTTAGATGGAATGGTGAGTTGTGTTTCTAGTACCCACCTGCCCAGGGACTGATGGAGATGGGATGATGTAGAACAGTAGACCTTGGAAAGTGGTTCAGGGCACACGCTGTCCGGAGGGCACCAGCTTCCCAAAGCATCAGGCAATAGAAGCCACTCCCTCGGAGGCCTAATGGATGTACGCCCTGGCAAAGCCAGCCAGCCACCAGGGTGAGCTTTGCTGCTGTGAGATGTGTGGTCATCAACACTTCCTGTCAGAGCAACTTGGTAGAGATTCCTCTTGACCTTGGTGAGGTGAGCTTGGCAGTGGCATAGGTCATGACCACTACTGAGGACAAACTCTTGGGGAGCACAAATGGATGGAGCTGCTTGGCGTAGACACGCAAACCTGCTGCTGTGATAGCTGGATTCTAGTGTTCTCTCTCTCTCTCTCTCTGTCTCTCTCTCTCTGTGTGTGTGTGTGTGTGTGTGTGTGTGTGTGTGTGTGTGTGTGTGTGAGAGAGAGAGAGAGAGAGAGAGAGAGAGAGAGAGATCTCTTGCGCTGGGGGAGGTGATGGGTGGAGAAGTGTGGCCACAGAAGGTCCATTCACACATTCTATGGAACCACCATCCCCATGTCGGGGCGGGGCGGGGGGGGGGGAGACCCTAGGAGTCGCTCACCTTTGCACTCTCCTGGCCGCTCCCAGAAAACCTTTGAAGAAGCACAGGCATGGGGTAAGAGACCAAGAGACAGGCCAGGTCAGGCCACCAAGCAGGTGACCAGAAGTTTTGATTTTATTACTCAGAGTGCTTAATGCAAGTTAATGGGGACTGGATAGCTAGAGGAGGGCGGGAGCATGGCGACTATGCAGATAAATAAGGGGCAGCGATGTGTTACATGTGGACTGGGGAGACAGCTACGTTCTTTATTAAGGTATCGCTGGAGCGAAGGGCACAGGGCGAGGGTGGAATGTACACGCAGGGGCTTAGTGTCCAGCCTGCTGCCAGCAGCCTGGGTGCTGGGCTCTGGGACTAGGGCCCGTGCAGCGCTAACTCTGAGCCTGGGGACTTGAGGCTGACACCCAGGAGGCGAGGGGAAGACTAGTTGAGTTGCCTCTGGCTTTCCTGGAGCCCCTGCCTCCTCACTTGGGGTGGGCCTTGAGGTGTGGGAAGTGGTGGGGAAGAACGTGGGGCTCTCCTCAGTTAGACAAGGTTATTGACACAGAATTGAATCTGGGGACCTCAGCCAGTTCCTTCCTGTGTCCAGGTGTTGGGGGGGCATTGAAAGGACAGGAGCTTCCATGGAGTATCCCAGCCCACGCCCCACAAAGCTGTTCAAAGCTGTCCCCAATGAGTTCTAGGACAGGACAGAGCCAGCTCCAGGCTTTGAGGCAGGTCCCTGGCAGCCTGTCTCTCAGGCACTGTGACACAGTGGCTCTTGGGCCTCTGAGCCCCTTGCTTTCTAAGAAGGAAATGGGAATGAGGTCTCCCACCCTAATGATTCCAACCTCCCTGAAGGAGTGAGCAGGACTTCTCGGGTCCTGGGGTAGAGGGTCATTTCTAGGGGCAGGTGGTCCCTCACCCTCAGTCTGGGGCAGCCATCAACTCCTCCCCTGCCAGCTCAGTCAGAGCTGGGCCTCCCAAGCAGGGGTGGGTGGAGGGCATCAGGGCAGGAGCTGGCAGAAACCTCCCAGCTGCTGTCGGCCTCCTCAGCCTCCCTCACTGCCCCTGCCAGGCCTGAGGCTGATAGGGAGCAGGGCACACAGGCTGGGGGAAGGGGCCCTGGGGCCAGGTGGGGATTGGTGGTGGCAGGGCCCCCTCTAAGGTCGGGACAGAGTCGTATATACCGGCTGCTCCCAGTGTGTGGGACTGTGGGACTGGGGCCCTGAGGGGCTAGGGTCAGAGATGGCCGTATAGAGGGGCCGTTGAGAAGGCCCCATGTAGGAAAAGGCTGAGTAGAGGCCAGAGGCCTGACCCGCATGGCCGTAATAGGGTCCTGAGGGCTGATGGTCAGAATAGTCGAACTGGGGGCGTGAGATGGAGGGGAAGGCAGAGCCGTAGTGGGGCAGACTGAGGGAGGTGTAGGCGATCTGGGAAGTCGACGGCTGGTCAGTGTAGTGTGGGGGTCCCTGGGGGCCTGTGGTCTCTGTCTTCACCTGGGCCTTGGCATCCACACCAGGGGGCGAGACCGTGGGCAGAGCCACACCTGGTGGCTTGGAGATCCAGGCAGAGTGTCCACTGGCCACAGCCAGGGCACTGCCCAGCCCATAGCCAGCTGCTGAGTAGCTACCCACATGGCCTGGGTGCCCATTGGGTGGCAGGTATTGGTCCAGCTCAGTCACATCAAAGGTCTCCATGTTGGACATTACCTCGTGACTGATCTCTCCGATGTCCACGTTGCCGAAGTCGATGTGGGGCTTCCCGCCCTCCCCCAGGGAGCGCCCATCCCTTTTGGGGTCTGCCTTGCCGGACTGCAGCTCTGTCTTTGGGGTGGTTGGAGGGGTAGGAGGGCCATGGCTCTGGCCTGGATGAGAGAGAGAGAGAGAGAGAGAGAGAGAGAGAGAGAGAGAGAGAGAG